TACCCTGTCTTTCTTATAACAAGAAGATCCCCATGTAGGATAAGTTAGGTAAGGTAAGATGAGTTTTAACTCAAGAAAGGGGACACAATAGATCTTTAAGGTCGCGGTGAACAAAAGCTTGATAAATCCCCCTCTTAGAATTGGGAGCTTTTGTGTCATAGAAAACATGGAAAATACAAGAAAATTATGATTATAATTCTACGAACGAATTGTCAATTAATATAAATGTTAATAAATAAAATAAAAATGTATTTTTAATTCAGTATTCCACTAGTGGAATAAAGATATTTTATACGACTAGTGGATAAAATAACGCTTTAAACTTCCATGATTGTACGATTGTGTATAAAAAAAATTAAAATTACATCAAAAAGGAAGAGAATTAAATTCCTTTAAGCCAAAAGTATACCTTTAATACTTTAAAAAGAATACCTTTAAGCCAAAAAAGCTGAAAATCACTTTTGTTCTTTTATTTTTTCAAAATGCAGGCGACCAGATCACTAAACTGAGTAAGTATTCATTTTCTTATTATTCCTTTGTCCTAACGTATATGCCAGTACTAAGGATGTTCATATTAGAAAAATATCGATAGTGTAAGATATAAAAAAATGGACGGGATGCTTTGTTTTTGTTAAAAAGAATAGGAGTTTTTCTATGGTATAGGGCGTAGAAAAGGTAACAAAAAGAAAAAGAAAGGTGTCAAGTCCCCCCCCCCCCCTTGAGTTCAGCCAAGCAATACGATATTAATATATTTTGTGACAAACGACTCTGGAGTATGTACTTTGAGTAAAGTTTTGAGTCTACCCCCCCCCCCTGTCCCGAATCCTGGATCCGCCTCTGGGTCTAGTAACAAAGTATTATAAGCTTAATAGGCATCTAAAACGCATATAATGGGGGTAATTACCCTTCCCATGAAGTAATTTATAAATATAAATGTGACTTAAAAAGAAATTAACAATACCAATCAAAAAGAAAGAATTTATGACCAAGGAAAATCAAAGATTTTCCTTGATTAAAGTAAGAACAGTCTTCGGATCGTCATGGAGTTTCTAACAGGACGCTGTCTCCTCAACAAACATCTCAGTAGGTTGAAGTTGAGACACAACGGCGAATGCAGATTCTGTGATGAAAATGGAGAAACATCAGAACATCTTATCACTGAATGCGCCGAAACGACAACTATTCGTGCCATAAACTTTGGTACGGCTGATATCGGAGATGGAGAGCTGGCCTCTGATGTGGAGCTGTCTCAGATACTAGCTTTTGTCAAAGCCCCGAGACTGTTCTGGGGAACAGAAGAACAGGCCGATCGCAGTAGAACAGGCCGATATCCACCTCAAAAATATATTCTAATATAAAGGCCATACGTATGATGAAAACTATTACCACTATTCATAGAGAACCCTAGGTAGTATAAAATCATCTTCTTTATAATCGATTTATATTGTTAATGTTATAAAAATATAAACAATTAATGGTCAAAACTATCAACATATCAAAATCGATATTTTAATATGTCGATATTTTTGCTCATCCTTACGTGATACTCTGGAATCGACTTCTTCAAGTTCGATTTAATTCACAGATTTAATTCGATTGGGAATTAAAGGTTAAAGCACGACTTGTTGCACATCTAAAAATAACATTCCCCCGTTAAATTTGGCCCCCTGCATATTTACGATTTTTTAAAAATAAAGATACACGTAACGCGAACACTATAAATAAGTTTACTGATATTCACCACGCGTAAATATTTTGTATAATAATGTGACTTAAGACTTAAATTTATTTAAATACTAAAGAGCTATTTAAACTTTCTTCATTTCACAACCATCGCTGACGCCGTTTTTTTTTTTGATCGTATAGTATAACCGCGAATAAATGCTTCTCTTGCATTATCGAACGCTTGCATTATATGAATTTACATTCATAGAAAATAACTTTTATATTATCTACCTACTCCCAACCAACGTATATTAGCTCATAACCATATTATTTTTTATTGAAGTTCATAGGTCATTAACTGCAGATATTTTATATGAAAACAATATTTTCTAATGAAGCTCCTCATTAGAAATGATTTTATTAAAATATACAGGGTGCTAGAAATTCGAGGTACGAGCATTTGTATCTCGGAAACTGTAATAGATACGAACATGGTTAAATTGGGGCAAAGTTGCGCTTTGGAGTGTTCACCAAGATACCATCAAAAAAGTTTTTAAAATTTCAAGGGTTGCTGAGTTTTTTGGAAAAAACGGATTTTTTGAAAATCAATTACCTATATTTTTTCCTATTGTTACTTTTCAGAAGATCAAAAAACTAACTGCACATTCTCATAGCCACTTTATTAGGGCTATCTGAAGTATATTAGGGCTATCTGTATTTTTAGATTTTCAAATTAGTTGATAATTTGTGAGATGCAGAGGCCCACTTTTTTTTAAATACCGACCTGTATTTTTTATTTCAGTTCTTGAAAGAACTCGGTCTCCTGAGTACAATAAACCACACTTAATATTTTTTTTTGTTTTGGACATGTGAACACAATTTATTTAAACTAATTTCATGTCCGGCTCTCTTTTTTAATATTTAATCTATTCATCGTTACAATATTGATTAGCTTTCAAACTTAACAATGAAAAAAAATAAAAAATAATATAAAATAAATAATATAATTATAATATAATAAACTGGTGCCCGGTGGCGTAGAGGTACAGGCTCTCGTCTACCAATCTGAAGGTGTGGGTTCGATTCCCACACCTGGCATTTCATCAGCTGACTATTTTTATTAAAATAAAAATAGTTTGGGTACCTAGGTCGACTCAGCCTTAAATGAGTACTTGGGATTCACAATTCTGAGGTAATAATAGGCGGTTGAAGCATAGTGGTAGCCACATACCTTCCTTGTATACCGAACGGCTCTAGTATAGCAAGCTGTACCTTGCTACTCCCAAGGCGTTAAACGCTATATACGGCAGCTATTATTATATAAGGATTGTAGAAACAACTATATAATTTCAAGGTATTTATTGAAATATATTATTCTGATAAGCAGTTGTTAAAACGCTATATATGGGAGCTATTATTATTATATAATATAATATAAACAATCTTATCATTTCCCCGGAAGAGGAATATTGGAAATGGTAGAGAGCAGTATAATAGCCAGCGAGGTTCCTAGACCTGTCGCCAATAGGCGGAGTAGGGGGGCATTACTTGACGTCATTTGTAAAAGTGAAATCAATACATCTCAACATTTACAATAAAGAGTACAAAATGCATTCGGAAGTATAAGAAAAAGATCTGTTCAAAGAGCTATAAAAAATTCAACGAAAAATAAATTTGTGCAATAGGAAGAGGGTGGTAACTTTTTCGGTAGAGCATTAGAAACTAGTTTGTAGAAGTTGATTTATTTATAATAACTACGATTAATATGATGCATAAATTATTAGTTATGTATTAGATCGTACACTGAGATTTCAAATCCACAATAACACAATTAAAAATAATATCTTTAAATTGCTCATCTGGATATTATTTATTTGAATCTTTCAGTTGGCTCGATTTCCCTTATTCAATGTTAAATAGCGCTGGTCAATATTATTGCGTGGATATTATCTTAGATTAAGAATAAAAAGATATAATCAGATTAAATAATTTAAAATAACCAGAGTCGGACTTGAAATTATTTTAAATAATAGTTAAATAGTTTTGTTGTTGTTATGGTACCCAAAACAAAAAAAAAAGTATAAAGTGATATATCGTTGTACTCGGGAGACCGAGTTCTTTCAAAACTTGAAATAAAAAATGCAGGTCCGTATTTAGAAAAATTAAATTGGTCTCTGTATCTCACAAATTATCAGCTAATTTGAGAATCTAAAAATACTGTTAGATAGCCCTAATAAAGTGGCTATGAGAATGTTCAATTAGTTTTTTGATTTTCTAAATAGTAACAACAGGAAAAAATAAAATAGATTTTTAAAAAAATTCGTTTTTTCTAAAAAACTCAGCAATCCTTGAAATTTTTGAAACTTTTTTGATTGCATCTTGGTGAACATATGGTGAGCATCCCAAAGCGCAACTTTCCTCCAATTTAACCATCTTCGTATCTATTACGGTTCCTGAGACCAATGCTCGTACCTCAAATTTGTAGCACCCTGTATATATGTACAAATATCCTTGTCATAACATATTATTTTTCTGACTTTTTAAAGTTTGTGCCATTATTTTTTTACATTGTTTGCCGTAATAAAAAAATTAATAGTTTATACATCTAAATGTTAGTCAACCTAATATACATTATTTCGTCTTTTAGTTAAATGGGTGAATCACCGTGAAAACCAGAGTGCAAGCAAACGCAAACACGAGACCATTGAAATTAAAAGAACAAAAAATGATTCTTCTTTACTAATGACTCGGTCATTGCTCTTCACTCTTCTTAAACTAGTGGTGGCCTGTGGCTGAATACTATGATCTTTGCTATGATGGCGATTGACCATATTACAAAAAGTTAGATAATATATTCAGTACTCTCATCAGACTACGTATTATTAATAGTTAATCGAATCGAGAATTTATTTAATTGATAAATAATTAGATTTAAGATATTTGGACAAAAAACATATATTTTACTAGATTTTTCTAGAAGTAACTAGCTAATTTCACTTAGCTCCATCAGTCAATGACAAATGACAGTTGACAGATAAGTGCAAGCGGCCATTTTTCTTGAAAGGCGTGAATTACGCCTAGATTTAAATATTTAGTAGATATTGCTGTTTGTGATTATAATTTTTGTAGAAACCTACATTGCATTAAGATTATTTATATGGTTTCGTCAAGAAGCTTTAAAATACGATATAGCTACGTGGTAGTTGTTAAAATTTCATATTGTTATTGACAAGTACACCTCATACGTTTCAGGTACTTTAATTTATTTTAAACATTTAATGCTTTTATTAATCAACTTATATTTAATACGTTTGTGATCTGTAATTCTAGCCAAAATGATCAATGTAACAGTAAAGACGTTGGATTCACAAAACCATGAATTTTCTGTTGAAGATGCTGTAAGTTTTGATGAAACATAGTACCTATTTTATATATTTATTCCTTTTAAATATATTTATAGATAACAGTGGAGCAATTTAAACGGGAAATTGAGAGCGTAGTTAATATTGCAGCAGACAGACAACGCATTATTTATTGTGGTAGAGTTTTGCAAGACACTTCTAAATTAAAAGATTATGGTAAGTATTCCTGAGACTTCAATTTGATTGTAAAGTCATTCATATACTGATGTAGATATTTTTGGATAGTTACAGTAATATATACTTATGAAGTCTTATATTTTCTTTGTAGATGTAGATGGTAAAGTAGTTCATCTAGTTCAGAGAGCCCCTCCATCAGCAGCAAATAGACATGGACGTTCTGTCACACCTCCGCCAGATTTTAATAGGTCTCAAGGTCCTTTCCGAGCTTTTGATAGAATAGGAAATACTGTATATATGGGGATGGGCTCCATGACTTTTCCGCAAGGCCACATTATAGATCCTCAACAGATGATTCCACCAAGAGCTACTCACACGCTTATCGCGAGCAGATTGAATGTCGCTCGAAGGTAACATTTTTAAAAAATCAATTGATTTTTTCTTCATAATGGAATATGGTATTGTAGAATGCTTCGTAATGCAGAAAATATAATTCGAAGACTAGAGAATCCCACTTCTTCTACTGAACAGGCTCCTGAGGAACAACCAGAAGAAGAAATGACACCTGTTATAGAAGCTAGGTAAATAACTTCATTAATGTCAAAGCAGTTTTAGGTTAGTTAAGTTGTCTCGTTTGTTTTAGAGTTATTGTTCCTACGAATGGGGATCAGCCAATAGATGAAACTGTTATTGCAAATGCTGTAGAAAACACAATTTTTTCTGAAGGAGTTAGGTAAAAATTTGTTTTAATCATAGACTTAAAATAAAATATAGACTGAGCATCTCATTCATGAATAGCTGGAACATGCGGTCAGACACTGTCTTGTTATTGTTTTAGGTTATAACGAGTGCGACACGAGCGATAGATAGGTTGTCTCTGTCGTAACGGTCGTTCCCTGACGACTCTGCCGAGAAACACAACACTGTCTTTCGTTTCTCAAGTACACCTGAACTCTCCGTATCATAGCCGGGTATTTTTTTTATTTTAATGAAGCTATAATTAAATTAAAAATATATCGTATTTAAACTTTTTATATTTTATTAAGATTTAGGACAGGTTTTTAAATAAAAGTTTAGGAAAAACAATTTAGAGTCCAAAAGGATAAAAATAATAAAATACACGTTATAGAAGAAATTTTATAATCGAAATTAGGTAATTTTTGAAATTAATAATAAATTATTAATTTTAGTCAAACATTTACAACCCCTAATATTAATCAAAACAGGATCTATTCCACAGATATAATAGAATCGGCGACAGGGAGAGAAAAAAAAATATGATTGTTGTAATTTTTTTCTGGTTAAGTGATGTCTTATTATGTAAATTAGAGAAAACATAAATCTGTTCCATTAAAGCAAGGAAGGTGATAGGAAGTGGATAAAATAAAAACTACATTTATTTAACTCGGTACTGTCTTTATTATACCGGGTGCGTCTCAAAAGTGGCTCATCCCCATAATTTTTTGATATTTTCAAATAAAAAAAACAAGATTTAGTATGTTAGTATATGAAATAAATTAGGATTGATTGACGCATTCAATTGTTTTTGGTCACTTCCTGTTTCACCGGAAATGACTATAACTTTTAATTTTTAAACGGCACCCTCGGTATATTTCTACTTTATTCGATAGAAAATGACACTCTGAATAGAATGACATATCATATGTCAACTTTGACATTTTCGCATATGGTTTAATTGTAATTGTAACACGCGGTTCATAACGACAATTTGACTCGAAATACCAAGTGTGTGGTATCAATATATTCATAAAAAAATGCTTTTTCCAAATATGCTAATGAGTCACCCTTGTTCCATTTGAAAAAATTGACATATGTATGATTAAAAATACGATTTGTACATCTTTTAACCGGCCTAGACAAGACACGAAATCTATTAGACGATCAAAACTATTTTTCCAAGGCTCTTTGATTAAAACTTAGTGGATTGAAAAAAACTGGATTGAAATTTAAAATAGGATATGTTTTTAAGCGACAATGTCAAAAGTTGACATATGATATGTCATTCTATTCAGAGTGTCATTTTTTATCGAATAAAGTAGCAATATACCAAGGGTGCCTTTAAAAATCAAAAGATGTAATCATTTCGGTGAAACAGGAAGAGACCAAAAACAATTGAATACGTCAATAAATCCTAATTTATGTGATATACCTACTAACATACAAATCTGTTTTTTATCTGAAAAAAAAAAGTTATAGGGTTGAGCCACTTTTGAGACGACCCGGTATATTAAAAATATTGTTTCATAATGTAATATCATTTTAAAATTCTTGTACGTTATTTTAGATTCTGAAGATAATTTTAGAATAAACCGGAATATATTTTTAATAAAAACATTATTAATTATTAATAGGGTTATAATTATGATTTTGTTACAATGTAAGTAAGTAAATAATGTAATGTAAAAGAAAAAATTCAGATTTTACATTTTACTAAAATATTATCTAAATAAGCGCCTTTCTACAACGACGCCACTGACTGCCAATGGGTAAATTGAGAGTTGCCTACCGGTCAAAAGTCGTTTCAAGACTTAAATGGATTATTTAAGTCAAATTTCTTGCAAATTTGGCACTGGCGAACCATATTTTATAGTTCTTGAACAGAAAAAGTCAATAAAATAAACACTTAAGGACTACAAGCTAAGAAAATGCGTTAATACAGCCGGGGAGATAGCGGCAACAAAGCTTTACCGCACACGTGCGACACGTACTACAAGGTAATAAATGAATGAATAGGCTCCCTCGCCTCTAATCGGTGTTGTCATATTGTAAAGAACTTATCCTTATTAAACAGTATCCGACTTATAATTTAGTAGTATAAGGACTATTTAATACATATATGGAATATTAAAACCTACTTTATTAAACTGTAGTATTAATATCTCAATATATGTGTATAACAAGAAAAAAAATATTGATAATATTAAAGACGTGACAACATAGGCTGGATGAGGAAGGCTCGGTCGACTGTACCCAGAAGTAAACATGTGTACCAAAAAGGTTGTTTGTCCGCGTTGAGATGTAAATAGTGTAGTCTATATTTTATTTTAAGTCTATGGTTTTAATTGTTTATAGATAAACTAATTCCTATTATAACTTTAGTAACAGTCAAGCTACAACTTCAAATAATACCACATCAAATGAAAATAATGAAGCATCTAGTGAACAGCAGTCTTCTACCTCCGTACCAGATGCTTCAGCACCAAGGCCATCAAGTGCTGAGACTTCAAATTCTGAAAACAATACAGATTCATCCCAGCAACAAAATGAGAATACTGCAAGGTTGTGATTTTCTGACTTTTTTTTTGTTTTATTTACTTAATTATCTTTGTTGGTTTCAGGCGAAGTAGGGCACCGGAAATGGCTGAACTTTTGACTACACTTAACCAGTTACAAGTTCGGTTCGCACCATTCTTAGCCAGATATCAAGCATTTATGCAAGAAGATCCTCAAGTACCACAAGAGGTATGTAATTAAAATAATATAGGCTGAAATTTTATTGTATCGCGTGCACATCATCAAAGGCATTGAAACTATTACCAAATTAAATGTCTAATAGATAAGAATTAGCCCATACACATGCCACAGTGTTCTTTAACACAGGCGGACTGTGCAGGCCAGTTTTTGCAGTTATAACTCTGCAGTTTTACTCTAAATTATTTGTTTTAGTACTCCGTCTATTTTTGTCATGTATAAGTCTATTTTTTTCTAAAAGAACTTCTTAAATTATTAATCTTTTTATCAACTGCTTTCTTATTTGCTTCCGAATCAATCTTTACTTTTTCTACTGTATGAAGTGTTCGTATAAAGCTGACAGTAATAGACAATAAACGAGTGAGCACAGTGGTCCTACATGTAGCGGGTTTCCAGGCAGATTTTAACAGTAAATACGAAATGAGCAGTACGCCCGAAAATACGCTACTAGCGAGTAGAGATGAGCGATATCGTGATTTTTTAATCACACTGATATTTGTTACTGTGATTTTTTAATATCAGTGATTTTTAAACGTGATGTGATCACAGTTTCAATAACAATAACAAAAGTCTTGTCGCTCCGTCCCCGTTCCCAGTTAAGGCGTAATACTCACGTGTTTATTTATATCTACTTTTTTTAGATTTGAGACAAACAAGTTTGGGTTTGATTCATTTATCCAGTATTCCAGCCAATAGAATTGCTGGAAATCGATACATGGTCGTTACACTGATACGCCGTTCCGCTTTTTCTAGGATGGTATGGATGCACAATCAGAAAACTGGCTTATAACTTCATTTAATTATAATTTGTTTGCGTAATACTCATAGATAAAATAATAATGTAAATATAAAAAAAAAACATTTACATATGTATTGTGCCAGATAAAATTAGGAATTTTATTTGACAGTCGTCGAAAGCCAGTGTAAAAAAAATAGCTGTGGCAACATTGCAACGTGCATTCGTCAAATATTTTGATGACGTGCACGCCAACTTTTATTGATTTTTCTATGTAAAAATTTTCTTACTTTTTTTTTCTAATGTCAGTAAACATAAAGAAATATTTTAATTTTTTTTTCAGAATGTTCAACAAACCCATGAAATGTTAAACAGAGTGTCTCAAGTTCTACACTTGTTAGGTCATGCTTACCATAGCCTTAGCGATATTATGATCAATGTTGAACAACCTCCGCCAAGATTACTGTATTGCCGGCCGATCTTAATTCAGCATTCTGCCGTTGTTCAAGCTGGGATTCCCATACAAGTCGAAGCAAGTTATGTCCATGTTTAGAAGACGATTGTTTTAATAATATATTTTTAGGCACAGATTAACCTTTCTGCTGACAGGGCAGGTGTGTCATCGACCACGCCCGCTTCAAACGCCACCAGTGGAGCTACCGCAGGTGCTACAAACACTAACTCAGCACCTAACGCAACCGCTAGCACTGGTTCTACCACTGGCTTGCTTAGTGGGCCAAGCATTACTGTACAACCGGGCTTTGTAGGTGAGTTAACTAAAACTAATCTATTATACTGGGTGTTTTATATAATTTGCAACAAACGGGGACCAAAAAATAATTTTGACATATGGCATAGATTACAGTTGGGGTAGTTGGAACCTTTGCTGTTACAGCAAAATAACACACTAATTCACCAGAATACACCAAAACTATTTCTGCATTGGTCGCGCGTTGCGCTAACCATGTTAGCATCTTCAGTAGATGATTATAACTAAACGGGTATGTACAAATTGAGCGTTTATGTAGGCGCTCAGTTGGCACTGACCGAGCATAGCAAAACTAGCCAGACGAGTCAAAATCAACAGAAACGTAACAATTAATTACCCAGACAGGAAAGTAGGAGAGCAATAGGGAACTAGGGGGCCAATTCTCGAGCGAATAGAATAGAACAGTAATAAAACACTCCCTGGGGAGTGTTTTATAGTTCTATTCTACTGCTATTCTATTTTCGCTTCTAATAGGTATTCTTGAACATAAACGAGAGAGCTTCACTATATGCATAGTTGCCAGTTGCTTTTACCAATGAGAATACGGGAGTCATATCATGTGATTATGTTCTTAACAGTTGTCTCCATATAATTATAAACTACGCTGATATTGCAATAATAATTTACGGAACATTGTTAGATTTAATATGTTTTATGTAATTTTAGCGAATAAAATTGAAAAGCCTAAGCACACCCTGTATATTTTTTCCCTCTAGAAGTCCCTTTTATGCCACCCGGTTCGATGCGCGTCATCACAGCGCCTCTAGAGATTCGCACGGTACGCGCCAGGTCTCGACCGCCCAACAACAACAACAACCAAACCCCCAACGCCACCACCGCCAACTCCGCTCCTTCGTCGACCGTGCCCAACCCAACGCCACCCGCGTCTCAAGCTCCGCCACCTGCCCCTCCGACCAATCAGCCGGGCCAGACGCCCCAAACGGGGCCCATGCAGGGAAATCCATTCGGGCCCAACAACGGCAACTTGGAGTTCTTCATGGAGGTCACGCCCGAAGGTATAACAATTGATTCTTTGGAAACAGCGCTGGCAAGCTCTAACCAAGCTGCCAACGAGTGTAAGTGTTCAGTGTTTGCATGCTTGCATTGCATTTTTGTTGCTTTTGCGCTGTGCACATGCGACCGGTATACAGATATGGAAACTCATTTATATCAAAGAAGTCTTAATACTATCATAGTATAAGGAAACTAGTAGCTTTACTCCTTGTCAAATCCTTTGTTCTTTTTCTGCCACTGTATATGACTTTGTTCTCGCGTCCCGTGACCACTGACGCAGCTGTATAGTCGTGGTCTATAACTAGGCAAAGTATAGTCGTGGCACTCGCCATAGTTTCACAGAGATGTATTTAGGAAAATATGAGTTCTCAATAAAATAAAATAAAAAAAATTTATCAAGTAAAAATTTACTTGAAAACAGAATATTTTCACATTTCGTGTAAGTAACAATTCTTCTATATCTGAAAATCTTCTGATGAGAAGAAATGCGGAAAAAATATATAATGACATATTTTTGTATTATTATCTATTTCAAAGATTTTCTACAACTTTTTTTTAATTTAAAACAAGTTTTACTTTAACATTAATGTGTTTGTTTTGTAGTAATATATTGGTTAGGTGATTTTCATTGGATAACTAATACATTGAACAACACATTGTACTAAATAATAAAATAACATATTTAAACTTCAATAATTGCTAATAAACATTACAGAAACTTTAAAAGAGAAAAGAAGGAAGAACAATGAGAAATAGCATCACTACTTTCTCACGTAATAAAAGAATAATTTTTTAGTTATTGTTACCGAGTCCCGAAGGTACCGAAAGAACCGGGAATTAATAATTTCGAATTTCCGGTTCTGAATCCTAGTTACCATAATATCAAGAAATTATGTTTTTTAACTAAAAACTAAAAAAAATCCAGATTTTATTTTTCAAAAAAAAAATTCGCAGAAAAATCCTCATATTTCTGGGGCCAAAATATACTACCCCTAAAAACATTTGCACTTACTTAAAACTCACCCAATGCACAATGCACGATGTCATCGAGATGACAAAAGACAGAGGCGCATGGACGAAAATCATCCATGATGTTACGCTGACCACTACACTCCCTAATGGAGGCCAGGACTGAAGAGAGAGAGAAAACTCACCCTGTATAGGGCAATTCACGGTTATGGTACGTTATAGCGTTTCCGGAACCGGAGCTGTTTTTCGGAACCGTTAATTTCGGTACCATGCCTCTAAGGAACCGGGATTTCCAGTTTTTTTTTCCGGTACTTTCGGTACTAGCAATTTTTTTTCAATGATGGTATGGTACAGTTCGTTAAACAGCAAGCAAGGGATGGTTGTCAAAAGTAAAATCGATAAAAAATTGAAGTTTAAATGAAAATAATATCAAATTATTAAGTAGTAATCAGTCATGAGAAAATTAAACTGAACACAAACATGATCACAAATGACTGTCAAAAAAAAACTCAAAACACATTTTTTGAATTATTACTACAACCAATAGCAGCACCAGCACACAGTAAGGCACTCATTTTTTGTCAATCCGTCTCTGTGTTGGGACGCAACGCTCGAACCTCGCACCTTCGGTCGACGGACGGAACTCAACTGAAACGCTCTGCAATCTGCCGATATTCAACAGATTGTAAAAACTGGCAGAAAATATTAGGAAGAGTGCAACTACTCTTTTCCTTCTACTATGATACAATTTCAATATTTATGCGTTAAAGTGTGATTTCGCTGGCGCAACTAGACGACTGCGGATGCCGACTGAACTAATATTTTTTACTTTCAAGATTCAAGAAACTTCCTACATTTATTATTATATTTATCAATATAACTATACCGGGTGCATCTCAAAAGTGGCTCACCCCTATATCTATTTTATTTTTTTCAGATAAAACAACGAGATTTAGTATATGACATAAATTGGGATTGATTGACGCATTCAATTGTTTTTGGTCACTTCAAAAAAAAGTTCAAATGACTGCAACTTGTGATTTTTAAATGGCATTCTCGGTATTTTACTTTATTCAATAGAAAATGACATATCATATGTCAATTTTTGACATAGTCACTCAAAAACAAATTCTATTTTAAATTTCAATCTAGAGTGCCATGGCTGTGTTAAAAACACTAATTTTTAATCAAGGAGCCTTGGAAAAATAGATTTGATTTTCTAATGTTTTTAGTGTCTTGTTCTGGCCGGTTAAAAGATGCCCAAATCGTATTTTTAATCATATCTCAATTTTTTTCAAATGGAACGAGGGTGGCTCGTTAGCATATTTGGAAAAAGCATTTTTTTGCGAATAATTTGATACCACACACTTGGTATTTTGCATGTTACAATTTCAAATAAACCAACCAGATTAATTAACTTTAATCTTAATTTTTTTTAAACCGGTACCTTTTGACATTATCTTTCTGCAGTACTAAAATCTATTATTTACCTATACATCAAGCTACTTCACTTTTTAGTACCATATAAGTACGAGATGGTATACAAACTTTACTGATGGGAACTTTATTGGTATATAAAACTCTCTTTATTTTTGATATTAAATAATTATATTGATCTATTTATTTTTATTAGTAATTCATTTTGTTAACAATTTTAATACATAAAACCAGCAAATTATTGAGTCTACCCATTTTTATATTTTAACATGTTGACATGTAAATATTGAAGAATTTATGAATGACATCATTCATATATATTTATTATTAATTAAGGGGCATACCGGTAACATGGTGTATAGACCGCCTAAATCTGACGTCACACCAGAGGGCGGAGTTTTAACAACTTTTCTAAACAAGGTCTTCAATGCAGGTAAAATTCCATAAGCGATTATATATTCATTTGAGTTCGTTTTCGTCAAAAAAAAATCGTATATTTAATTCTATGATATGTGAGAAATCCTTGTTTGGAAAGATTAAGCACTGCCCTTTGACGTGACGTAACTACTTAAGCTGTCTATTGTGATATTTAGTAACACTGTATAGTATGTAGTCTATAGTCTATCCAACGGGAAGATCCCTGACAGTAACAGTTATATTTCCAGGCAAATTATATTTTCTGTCGTTTTTTGGGTGCCGTCTGTCAAAATCTTCCATGACTCGTTGGACAAACTATATCAGTTACATAATATTACAGTTTTAAAGGTTTAATAATATTTATTGTGCTTTTTAATATGTAGTGCTTCAGCCTAATTAACAGCATGCCTATAAAAATATATATTTTTATTCTATTTGTTTTATTGTTTTAAAATAACAGCTAGTTATTGTTTGTAAAAATAATGTACAAGCAAATATATTTTTCAATTTCCATACTACTCAACTCCTTATAGTTTTGCGAAGTGGAAATTTGATACATTCACTGATGCAGTTGGTGGGTAGTCAGTTGGGAGGTGGTTTGGGTCAAGCAGCTCAAGCTGCCCAATCCCAAGGTCAACCAACAAGTACGACGACGACTGATTCGTCTCAGGCGAGTCAAGGAGCTAACGGCCAAGCGCCTAATAATTCCCAATCGCAGGTCAGTAAACCTAAAATATTTATTATTCATATATTTTTACTGCGAAGCAATCTAAAATGATTGAAATAGCTATTCTGCTTTTGCTCATTTGATTGGCAATAAATTTTAGAAATTTGCATAATTACCTTTCTATAAGAGTGGGACTAATCAAACCAATTGAGATATAATGATTTTCTGAAGGCTTTTTAATTTAATTATTGAATGGAGTATATCGTCACCTGAATGCAAGAAATGGTTAACTTGAAATTTTCATGTTTTAAGTTACCTACTCGAAATGATATAAACGGGCGTCTAGAATTTAGTGCATAAAGTGGTTATATAATTCCTTAAGAAATATATGATTAATTTCTTAAGAAGTGATATAACCACTTTATGCACTAAATTCTAGGCGCTCTTCTACATCATTTTGAGTAGGTAACTTAAAAAATGAAAATTTCGAGTTACTCATTTTTGCATTCAGGTGACGGATATAGGTTTGGATACATGCTCATAATAAATTTTGATAATGAAAGGCATATTAAGGTATCAAAAGGAAGGCAATGGCAAACCACCTTCAGTATATTTGCCTTGTACAGCCTCTCAAATAGTGCCGTTCGGATTCGGCGATAAACTGTAGGTCCCGTGTACTTGTGAAACACTGATGACACACATCACAAGTACATGCGAGAGGTGCTCTGTATAGAGTATGGAACTGTAAGAAGAAGAAACTATGCTCAGAAATGCGGTTCTATATTGATTCTAACCTCTTTTTAAATAATGCCTATACCTCCTTTTAAATGCCGGGACAAAAATAAGCCATGATTATGTATTAGTATTCTTTTTTCATGTTGAACATTATAGTTGTGTTGAAAAATAGTATTTTTTACATTGAAAAATATGTGGATTTCACAAATAACAAATTCAAAACTTGTAAATTTTCAAGAAAATATAGAAAAGCCAAACAAATTGACGCCAATAAATGGACATAATCTGCTAAAATTTTTAGATCGATAATTTCTTTTAGCAACCCATAATGCCGGAACACAGTATTGCCAACTCTTTCAATCATTGTTGATCACTCTATTATTTATTGGATGATTGAAATACTTATTTTCAGGCACGTGGTAATACGCAAACCAATCCTACCACCGCTACTCATACAAGATCCACCCCTCGACCTCACGTGCAGATGACGCAGCAAGCAGTGCAAGGTGGTTTTGATCCGTTCTTGCCTTGCTATTCGCATCATGTTACACATGCGAGGGGACAAAGGGTAAGTATATTGATGATCATAAACTCAACCAGAGAAAAAGAATTTTAAATGTATATCTAGTTATTATCTTATGGATGGCACACATCACAAGTACATGCGAGAGGTAGCCGACGCTCTGTATAGAGTATGGCACTGTAAGATTTTTAAATTAGTAAAATAAAGAAAACATCAATTAAATACAAAAACTAAGGAAAGAGTTAAATACTATCTTTATGTTCTTACATTAAACTGAAGTTATGGCACAGCAGCTTTTTTTTGTTTCATAACAATTCTTGACAAAATTTGATTTTTTGCGGGCTTAAAATTCATTTGCGTCTAGCCGGGCCGTGCAACTTTACAACCCGCAATTCCGCATGCGTATTTGTCTTCTGTGGAACGGCAGAACAAAGTAATGCTTAGCGATAGCCTGGTTACGGAAGCGGCCGCTTCGGGATCGAGGGGTCCGAGATTCGAATCGCACAAATGTAGAATCTTTTATTTTTTTGCAGCTGTCGGTAATAGCAACCAAAGTATACTGTATGCTTGTATAAATCTAGCAGAACATCGTGTGAGCGCGTCAATTAGTGATATTAGTGTGAATATTAGAAAGATGCTTCAAAGTTGTTATTTGTGTAGCTTGCGATTTGCGATCAGCGATTTACTCTTACATGTTTGCATTTATTTACTACTTGTCAAAAAATTATTGAGATTATTAAGTTGTCTTAATTATACTTAGTTATTTCAGTCACGTATCTGCATTTTTTTGTTAATTACATTAACTAATTTACTTTTAGAACATATTTGTTTAATCGGTTTTAATTATTCGCAACATTTATTTTGTCAACATAAAATATAACTAGCAAATTATTGAGACTACTTAACGTGTTAATATAGAAAATGTCACTGATATACCGGAATTCACGTCTCTGTAATTTTATTGATATGCTGTTTCCTTAGCGTTTTTATTTAATGAATTGTAGGAAATTTTTGACCCACAAAAAAAACTAAATTTGCAATAATATGAAAGGAGCCACCTTTTTTGAAAAATATCATAACTTGACAACAGTTTTTGATATTTCCAGGAAATATTTTGACGGCGAATAAAAATATGTTTTACGTTTGTTTTTTAAGATTATTCCGATGAACCAGGCAAACCGTGCCGAATCTGCAGCATCCAGAGACGCGGCATCAGGTAATAATTTGTTTTTATTTTAGTTAGCCCTTGAATATTTTTAATAAAAAAATGTGTTTTTTTCTTCTTAAGCTCAAACTTCGTCCACTTCGACTCAGACCAATCAACAAAGAAATAGTAACGCTCCACCGAATCTAGCAAATTTAGCTGCCCAATTCGAGAACGTGGTGCGGGGATTCCCCGCTCCGTTTGCGCAGATACCGAATTTTATGGAGCAGAATCCTCAGATGTTTCAATCGTAAGTACAAGCTTTAGAATGTATAACCTACGAGGATAAGTAAATTCACAAGGTCAACAACGAACATAACCTCAAACTACTTGATAATTTTCAAAATTAGGCCGTTTTACTCTTGGCAACTAAACTTGCTTGCAAGAAAAGTTGCAGCAACTACAACGCGTACCCAGTGATGTAAAGGGTAATATTACCGTGGTTATATTACTGGTAATTTTGGTAATATTACGTAATACTACCGCAAGATCGGTAACATTGAAAATATTTTTTTTTTCGCTCTACTCTTTTATTTGCCCAGTTCTAAAATAAGTATGTTGGCTGTAGACATTTTAAATTTACCATCGTCAACAGCCGCAAACTAAAGAACCTTTAGTACAAGAGGAAACAGACTAAGCTACATGCACACTGGCACTGGTGCGATCACGGCCGCGATCAAGATCACGATCGGGGCAGCGATAATATGAGCGATCATTCTAGCACACACCAACGCGTTCACGTTCACCGCCGCGCCGTACCTATATGTAGTGAGCTATCCTGTAGGTATACATAGGTACAAATTAAAAATGTGAATTATGTATATCGAAAAAAAAAGCATTCTTAAATATTTACCTACAATATTTAAACTTAAACAATAAAAATGTATACATATGTACCATTGCGATAAAAAAAGCAGTACAACAAAACATGATTTAATCTGCTGGTCTATAATAAAATATTTTTAAACTTGAAAAATTGCCAATATTTAAAAGGTAAGTAAATTTTTTATACTTTTATTTCGCCACGTGTACCTACCAATTATTACCAAATTCATGGTAACGCCTAAAAAGTTAGGTGGCATAATTGTATTGTTTTCATAGTGACGACGATATCCACTTCTCGATATCCTTATAGACCAGGAGTTCTATCTGGGACTACTAATTCTTGTACTACTTTTTATTTTTAATTCTATTATTTTTGTAACTTGGATCGGATAAATCATATAGAATTTTGTGTATTTTTACAGCCTTAATTAGCTGCTCTGTTAACTCCATTTCTAAATTGCAACAAGAAAAAACACACAAAATAACGGAAAATTCTTATCAGTTGGGTCGCGATCACGCGATCAAACTCGACAAGTCTGTTCTGTCAAACTCGACGAATCTGATGGCCACCGCAGAATAGAACACCGCCAGGCCGCTTCGTCTCCAAAACTCGATCGCGCCAAGGTGAAACGGCTCATATGTATTCTTATGTCAGATGGCGTTAAATCAGAATTCTTTTGTAGTTTCCATAGTTTCCAACGGCCCCTATCATGCTATTTCACTTTCTATTTCACTTTTTAGAACTCTTATTTGCTCGCAAAAAAATGGAAGAAATAAAACTTGTAAATTTACCGCGTTGTTTGGAAGGGTTGGTAAGGCTCCTCTCTTTTTTCTTCTATTCATTTTACAGCAAGGCGACTTCCATAGTTTTTGAGTACCTGCACTGTAAATTACGCGCCTGCTCTCGTACAACTGCAACTTAATTGCGGCAAGTAAAGTTACTGCAACTTTTGTTGTGTGTCCTTGTGTTTGTGTGTTAACGACTTAGGCTGTCTATTGAACATACCATTTTATTATAGGATAGCTGAGGTGTTATCAAACGTGATGAGAACAGACATGCACCAGCAGGCGGCGCCCCAAACTCCGCCCCAAAGGGGAGCGCCCGATGGCCAGGGGGCTCCGTCTCCTCAACCCGGAACCAGAAATCCAATTAATGTACGTGCCGGATTGTTGAGCGGCTTGTTTGCCAGAGTAAGATTTAGTTTTATAACTCATATAAATCAATAGTCTATCGAAAGCATATAAAGTGTATGCAACCACTAAATAAAGATTTCAACATGCGACATCTAGAAAATGGCAGAAAATACAACTGCCTTTGAATTAAAATAATAACTACAACTATTATTGTCAGAAACTTCTCGTTGGGCAGACTTTATAACAGTGACAGTGGTCTGTCATTTTAATTCAATAGTATAAGTAGTAGTTAGGTTAGGTTGTAGTAGTTGGTTAACAATCAGTCAGGAAAAAAATCGACAGACGACATCCAAAAAATGACACAAACTACCTGTGAATTAAAATGACTGACGCACCTGTCACTGTCATGAATCTTCTCGTTGGACAGACTATATTGTGTTTCTGGATACGACATTCGGATAATATAGCAGATGCTAAAACAAAATATTTTATTCACAACCACGTATGTAATGTTGACATTATTAATTTTTTAAAATCATTCTTAGTCACATTATTACTTTCCTTTTTCATTTCCCTACTGATTTCCCTCTCTCTTCTCTCATTTCTCTTGGTTCTACTCTTTCAGCAGCTTCTTTAAGTTCCGGTAAAATACTATTGTTAAAATAGTCGTTATCGTCACTTTTTGATAACAAGAAAAAAAATCGGTGGAAAGTTTTTACTAGTATAAAATAAACGTTCTATTCTAAGAACATAAAAGGGAATAATTCCTTAGGTTTGCTATTATGCCCGGACTGAATTATTCCGGAAAGAAGAGTCTCCAATAAGAAGAACATTTCCATTTCCCATTCATCGGAAAATATGGAACAAAATTAGTTTTTTTGCGATTTTAATGCAATAATTACGATTTTTGTTGATGAATGTTGATAACTGATGAAAATAAAAATAATATTTTTGTATTTCAAACATTGTGTATTGTTTTCAATCATATATTACGTCTATTATAAAAATCCGATATATTTCTGGGGGTCCATATTATCACCATATTTTTTCCGCGCAAACATTGCACTTCGATTAAAATTGGTACATTTCTCCAAAGTTTCTCCTTTTTATTCAGTAATTAACAATCATTAAACAACGAACTTCCTAATGTATAGTTTTTGTCGTTAATAGAAAAAATAAAAATATTGTGTAGGAAAAACAAAATGGGATTCCAATTACCAACTTCTCCTCTACTATATCACGCTGTTCCTGGTTACCCTGGTTTAACAACGGAATACAGCCTTAGCTAAAGTCTGTCTAATAGAGAATACATGACTGTCTCGAGATTTAGTTAATTTCTCAACAATAATGAAACACTTTCCTACTCGGTGTGTAATATATTATTTTTATTTTTAGAATAACGGTGAGGAGCCTACCTTGGACCATTATATGCAGTCTCTTTATCCTAATTCCTACGTCCAAGGAGAAAATACAGTGAGCGATTTTATTATGTTGATGCTTCGTAATTTAAGAGTGGCAACGTAAGTACATAATATTTGTTTTGTATTGAGGCGGTATTATTTTTAATGTGTTTCTCAGTGATCTTAGTATGCTTTCAAATGGCAACATGGCACCTTTGGAGCGACAAGCGGATGCGGTGAGGCGGTTCTTCACCACCGAAATTTGTGGAAACGACACGAGCGATATCGGAATTGAACACGCCACAGAGAGAATGGCTAGCGATTTTAGATCAGTGATAGCTGCTTTGGTAAGTACATTATTACCCTATAGTCTGCATAGCAAATTATTATTACATTAAAAACAGGACAGTGGTATGACATTTTATTTCAAAAGTACCATATGATCGAAAAAAAAACGCTTCAGAGATGGCTTGAAAATGTAAAATTATACAGGTCATTTTTGGATGCCATCAAAATAATATATTTTGATATACTAGGTAAACTATAGTTTTTCTCTCGCCTTCCTTTTTCTGATATGGCAGAAGACAATCCGTCAAAGTAATCATAGTTGTTATTTTTTTTTAATAAAAATAACTTAGTTAATGCACTTAAAAGATTAGAGGAATCAAATCAAATTTCACTTAAATTGGTATAGTTCATTGAATAAATTGACTAAGGAAGAAGTATAATAATCATGAAAATTGACAAGTTACATTAGTATGGCTGTCTTAATTCCGGTTTGCCACAGTCACGTTTTATTTTTTTAAAACATTTTAACATACAAAGTTGGATAGACTCACTAATTTGCTGATATTGTTTTTCTTTGATTTAATAAATGTTATTAGTCATTAAAATGGTTAAGAAATACAGGGTGTCCCAATATGCCGTGGACATAGAACTACTACGTATTTTTAGAGATCAAAATAAGTTCATTGGACACCATTTATCTCTATACAAAACTGCTTCGTTTTTCCGCTAGAGGGCATCAAACTTTAAAAAAATAAACACATTTTTTCAGATATTACATGAACCGTTATTCCGATTCGAATGAGATTTTGGGTGTCTATGTTTTGCAAAGTACTTTAACATTTGACTTTTACAAAAATCAAGAAAAAGTACGGGAAGTGAAAACCACCCCTGTGTGCATAAATTTTTGGATAAATATTTTCAACCTCCGTCGGCGACAGATTTTTTTTTTTGTAAAATGGTCCCTCTAGTATTTACTACATTTTTTGTCTCTTATAAAAAAACGCCACATCGCATAGTTTTTGAGAAAAAAAATTAGAGAATTTATTTTCCAAAGCAGACCTACAAAATATAAGGGAGTAGCAATATTCCGTGGACATAGACCAACTACGTATTTTTTGAATCAAAATTAAGTTAATTGCACATAATTTACTTTTATACAAAAGTGCTTCGTTTGTCCGTTAGAGGGCATCAATCAAAAATAAACCCGAACGTTAATTAATTTAAAATTTATTAATTTTTTAAGCTTTTTATGAAGCTTATTATCAATTATAATTTGTGATACTAACATAAAATTCCATATTTTCTCCAAATAGATTATTAGAGCATAATAAATTTTATGCGCCTCTTAAAGAAGCACTTTTGTATAGAGATAAATTGTGTCCAATGGTGTTAATTTGATTCGAAAAATAAGTAGTAGTTCTACGTCCACGGAATATTTGTTATTCATTCATTTTTTTTTTAAAACAACCTGTATATTCTTAATAGGCTTCCTCTCTCTCCCCCACGTGAGATTTAGAGAGATTCGTCTTGAATCCTTCCCCCCTTGATCCCACGTAATTAATGGACCCCCCCTCCCCTAACCAGTTGTAATATTGTGTTATTTGTTTACATTTTAGGATGTGGTACGATTTAGAGACGATATAGATTCGACAAGAACTTTGGAAAACTTCTTTAGACAAAAATTATCGACCCTAATTCGAGTGGCAGTCAATTCTGGAACTCAATCTGATGGTATAAAATTAGTACAATTTTATATTTTTGTTCTAATTTAACGAATATTTTCCTCGTTCTAGGCCAAAACAATGCTAACAGAGGTACTTTTGTAACGGTTGTGTGGAGAGCCGTAAAAGAATTGCTTGCATTAGTTCTACATTGCAGCCTAAATGGGCAACAAGGCGTTGAAGAAGCGACTGAAGTGTATTTGGTAAGTTTTAGAGTTTGGCGAAATCGTGAAGTCACATTCACGGTTATACCGGTGTGACCGTGAATTTATAATTTTTGTTGTTTACAACCTGTGAATCTGAATTTTACCCATAGATAGATGAAATAAGTTTAGATTGGAAAGTGCCTATAAGGACAATGTAAATACTCAGAAAAAAAATCGTGGGTGTTTGGGAAGGCTTGAAAGGAAACAATGTTTTTTTTGCGACGTTTCGCGACTTTAATGTCGCTTCTTCAGGCACATAGGAGAATCAGTTTCTTTAAAAATATCAATATAAAATTAACTGACCACTTACCCAAAATTGTTATTTTCATCAAAATTACAAACAAAAAAAATATTTTAAATTAATTTTTTGTTGGAAAAAGTTGCACCCAGAATTAAAAAACAAGACACATTACTGCATATCGCTAATTGTAATCCTCTGAAGCTAGAAATTACTCTTCTTAAACTATAATTTTATATTAATTATTAATTAATAAACTTCACAGAATTTTGTTCTGACCAACTAATAGCTGTCATTTTTAAAACCTCACTTGAACGCCAAATCTTAAACTGCAGTCAACTCAGACATGGATCAACTGGTTTGATCAATTGACATGATTTGTCCAGTTGAGACGATCATATTACATTTATAAGAAGTCAAGTAACTAGATCAGTTGACTAGGCTCGTGTAAACGCACCTTTAGAATTCGCTAGACTGCGAATTAGTAGTATTGTACTTGGGCTTGCCTTTTCTGTGCATACTAGAGATGAGCAACAAATCGCAGACTGAGATTCAATAGCAGCGATTTTAAAATCGCAATCGCAACCTGCGATTGGCTCTCATAAGGAACTGCGATTTGCGATTTCTTCTATTTCAATTTAGGCAACCAATATTATATAATTGCGATTTGTGATTTTATAAACTAGGATAACCTTCTATCTGCGAGTTTAAATTTTTAGGAGTTGCGATTTGCGATTTTGTTGCCAATGTAATTTTGTGGTTCATTGGAGCATTTTATAGAAATCATTAAAAAATCAAAAGTTGTAATTATTTACGGTCAAACAAGATTGAATACAAATCAATTCAATACGTCTATCAATCCTGATTTATGTCATATATACTAATCTACCAAATCTCGTTTCTTTATCTGAAAATAAAAATAAAAAAGTTATAGGGGTGAGCCACTTTAATAAAATAGTTCTTTAAGATCTTTTAAGAATTGGATAAAGAATTAGAAAACTGAGAACCGTAGAAAGAGTAGGTATGTGTAGTTGCAGCATATTATAAAGTTTTAATACATATACTATGTGTTGCAGATGTTAAAAAAACTTAAAAACCAAACAACTGATTTTTATTAACTTTTTTTAACTGTTAAGCTATAGGTACATGCACAGACAATTATATACCTACAATAGTACAATATTTAAATATTAAAATCGCAATCGCAAGTTACAGTCGCAGCGGTTTAAAAATCGCAATCGCAGTTGCGATTGGAGAATCGCAGATTTGCTCATATCTAGTGCATACAGCGTGTAATCCAATACTGAACATGTTAATCTTACGATGTTATGCGATTTTCGACTTATAACATTGTGGGGACGAACTTAGGTTGCATAGCTGTCTAAATAAATAGCACTAGAACTAGCACTTCTAAATAAATAGCAGAGAACGCTGACTGGCGACAGATGTTTTCTAACGTTATGTTTAGTCAGTAGAATAGTTTTCTCTCTCTAGTGAACATTTTGGGATGCCCTCTATATTATTTTCGTTTTTTTTTGTCCACAGGCCAACGTTAATCCGGCACTTTGGGAATTTGTTAGCGGCGCCAGAACCGAACTTTTATCTGCTATAAGGAATATGATCCGTACTTCAGATGTGAGGGCCGGAGATATTCAACAATATGTGATAAGGAAAACGCAAGAACCAGTTAATAGTAGGACTCTAGTGAACGAAACAGCGGCCATGCCAAGAAGTCACGACGTTGAGGTAAATCTACTCCAAATATTTTTTTTGACACAAATCATAATAAAGCCTATCTAACAAGTCAGGAAAGATTTCCACAGTTGACATAAAAAAACAGTGCAGCAATTTACCTACAAATTGAAATGACACATCTGTCACTTTGATGTATTCTCACGTTAGACAGACTTTAGCTAAGGCTGTATTCCGTTGTAAACTAAGGTTAACCAGGCTAGTAAACTATGGCAGAGGTCAGTTCCTGAAAAAAAAGGGTAAAATATGGAAAAGTGTGATATAATTAATATAGTAGAATTGTCAAATATTAACTTTTTTTAGATATCACTAATCTTATTATAAAACTAGACAGTAGTACATGACATAGACTAATGTCATGTACTAGAGATAGATAGGACACTGATATATAACACAAATAAGTCGCCTGGTAACACGTAAATGATGGACTGTAAATATCAAAATGCACCAAACTAATAAAAACACAAATCACCGAACTTTTCTACAAATCAGGAATATCCGAATTAATAATTATTTAAATAATGATAATAATTTGGCGGATCATCAACATCTTGTCAACTAGACCAAAACTAGACCATAGACGGTCGTCAACGTAGAGGCTGTCGTGTCATCTTCATATATAAATTAGAAACCTATACTTTAAGGTCTTTTCAGCCGTCTGGCGATGCGGAGGAAATTAAATTTGTAGTTTTATAAAATTACTAGCGTGTACTCGCGTCGAATTAATCATTTGTAATGGTGATGATAAAGCAAAGCAAGAATTTCCATTAACATTCAAACTGGATAAAATTTTCTCACATTTATGTCAGCATGAGAAAAAACAATATAGCGATATTATTATATAACTTGGTAATATTTGAGGGGTAGTTTCATCTCGTTGGAATTTGACTTTCGGAAAATCCGTTTGCCAAAAATAAGCTTTTTACGTCAAGCAGTTTAAGCAGAATCGTGGTTAATCAATTACCCAACTTTTTGGAACACCCTCTATGATTTTTTAAAAAATTTCAAAATATGTAAAAAAACTAAATAAATTATGCGTGTCCAAGCGTTTTCCCTAAAGATTAACCGTTTTTTAAATAACAAATATTGTAATATTTGAGAGGCGTTTTCACCCTCTTGGAATTTGAGATTCAAGAAACCCCTCCTTATCGAAGTCAGTCCATTTGCCAAAAATCAGCTTTAAACGTCAAGCAGTTTAAGCAGAATCGTGATTACTCAATGGTCATATTTTATGAAACACCCTGTATGAATTTTTAAAAAATCTGAAAATATGCAAAACAACAAAATAAAATATACGTGTTTAAGAGTTTTTCCGAAACACTCACCGGTTTTTAAATAAAAAATATTCTAATATTTGAGGGGTGGTTTCACCCCCTTAGAATTCGAGTTTCGAAAAATCCCTTCTTATCGAACCTCTACACCGTAAAGTTAGTCCGTTTTCCAAAAATCAGCTTTTTACGTCAAGCGCTTTAAGTAGTATTGTGATTAATCAATGACCAAATTTTTCGAAACACCCTGTATACATTTTTAAAGAATATTAAAATATGTAAAAAAAAACAAAATAAAATATACTGTGTTTAAGCGTTTTTTCGGAAACTTGACCGTTTTTTAAATAAAAAATATTGTAATATTTGAGGGGTAGTTTCACCCCCTTGGAACTGAAATTTCGAAAAATCTCTTCTTATCGAACCTCCACACCCTAGAATCAACCTGTATGCCGAAATTGAGCTTCTTACGTTGAGTGGTTTGAGCAGGACCGTGATTATCAGTGAGTCAGTCACTTAAGAATTTTATATATTAGTATAGACTATTGAGTCTCTAGGACCTGGAGTTTAAATAACAGATAATAATTGAGGAGCAGAGTTTCTAAATGCATTTTGTCCATTTTTTAAGATTTTCAACCAAAAGTGAAGAGAAACGACGTTCTAAATGCATTTGATCCCATTAAAATAATGGGAAAAATACCTTTAAATTAAATTAGAACTTTCTGTGTGCTGTATGTCCTTTGGCAGTAGACAAACTGTTGTTTCACAGCACATCATGTTTTGATGTTTTGTGCTGATTAATTTGATGACAATATTGATGGATATTTTTCAGGAACCGTGTTCTATAATAATAAAAGTTTCAAACAAAACATAGAAACGGAACAGAAAACCATAACCAAGGTAAGCAACGGAATGCAGCCTAAATGTTATTTTTAAATATCAATGTATGTAGTACAGGTAAAAACTGTTCAATGGATCATTTAACGTTACATCAGCGTGTCAAGTATGCGTTTTAGGGTATGGCTGAGATCAGTTTATGTTATTTAGAAAGCTTTAAGTACGCTATTAAATTATTAATTGTGCGAGTTCCGTTTTTATCAATTTCATGTAGAGGGGAGGCTTCCGCTTCCGCAGCCGACCCGTTCTTAATGTTTGAAAATAAATAATAATTATTATTGTAATTATTACAATAGTTCATATTTCATTAAATATTTTACAATTTTCTCTCTGCTGAACAGTCATTACAGTAACATCAAGGTCGTGTGTCAATTAACTTCTAACTAATTACTAAAAATAGAAATAACCAATTATTTTCATATTTGTAGATAGTTACATTTAGGATCAGTGATAGGTATAAGATGATTGTGTCAATCTTTTTTTTAATCAAAAATTAACATTCTTTTTATTATTATTGATTTTAAATAATTTTTGTCACATTTTATCGAAAAATGTTAAATAGCGTCGAAAAATAATAACCCCTGTGAAATTACAATGCTTTATATTTTTTACTTATATAGGCAGAAAATTAAAAAAATATATAAGACGCTGGAATATCAAAGACACTTTTTTCGATAAAATATGACTGAAATTATAAAAAAAAATAAAAACAAAGCTAGTTTTTGATTTTAAAAAAGTTGAATTGGTTATACGCAAAATAAAGCCGCAAATTTTAAAATTGTTTTTATTACGAATACAACTATGTTTCTGGTATTAATTAACTCACTAAAATTTGGTGTTTTGGTTTCATGCCCAGAACAGAGTAAGTGGATCGCCGAGTAGCAACAGAAACCGTCGGCTCTTTTGATGTGGTGGAACCAAATTTTCTTTTTCTCTCTTTTGACGTGTTTGACAGATAGACTACGTATTTAACTGCTCAACTTATGAAGTGGTCCTATAAACATGGTTTACACTGCTCATAATTTGAAGTGGAATTAAGTATAAAGTTTTATACATATTTTTTTTGTTTTGTTTTATCCTTATTTCCTAAATTTGAATGTATAAAATATCTTACAGCTAATAAATAATTACAAAAACGATGCGTTGCCTGAGGTATACTTGAAATAAAGTATATAGAGATATTCGATAAATGGCAACAGTGGCAACTTCGCTTCTTCATATGACAGATAACCTACTTATTTCGCGCAGCCGCAAAGAAAATTGAAAATGGGACTGTCGCTACTCGTCGGTTTACTTACTCTGCCCAGATAAGAGATATACAGAGTGAGTCTTAAATAAGCGCAAATATTTTTAGGGGTAGTGTATTTCGACCCTAGAAACACGTGTTTAATTTTTTTTGTTACGATAAAAAAATTTGAAATTTTTTAAAAACTAAAAAAATGGAATTTTTTTTTTAGTTTTTAGTTAAAAAGCACAATTTCTTGATAATACTGGGTGCGTCCCAAAAGTGGCTCACCGCTACAACTTTTTTACTTTTTCAGATAGAAAAACGAGGTTTGTTATGTTAGTATATAATGGTGCGTTTAGACATGAGCACGCACGAGCTGAGCGTGCGCGTACGGCATTCGTTCGCGCTCTCGGCTCCGTTCAAATTAAAAACTTATTTTTCGACGAATGAAGTGATCCATTTGTGCGCGCACAGCAGAGTTGTGTTGGCGAAAATAAGGGACGACCAAGAAATAGTCGAGGCTGCAGTCATTGTTATGCACAGCTTAATTATTAAAAAGGAGAAAAATCGAAAACATCGTCGCTGGTAGCAAACCCAAATTTTTGAAATCAATATAATTTACTGCAACAACTTATTGTCTGAGGAGGGCTATGATCAGTTCGAAAACTTTACAAGAATGACCAGGCCCGGCTTTGAGTATTTACAAAATTTAATAACACCAAAAATTACGAACAAAAGATACAAATTTTAGAATAGCAATTTCATTAATATCGACATATTCAATATTAATTTTATTTAGCAGGTCTTGCCATGCGTTTTTTTTTTATTTTTTAATAATACAAAGAATGTTTAACATCCCATAATATAGGCAACTTTTCATATTCTTCAATAATAACGAAGATTCATTGATCCACTCCATAATTTTAATAAAGAAACCGAAAAAAATCACAGACGCACGCACGAACGCAAACAAAACAAATTGCCGGTGCAAACTGAGCGTTCGCGCACACATAAAATCCCTTTGAGCACGGACCAAAAACCGACACCAGACGGCTGCTCGCGCACAGACAGATTCAGAGTGAGCGTGCGTCACAGCCGTTTACACTTGAGCATTGGCGGAGGATCAGTGCGTGCGTGCTCAAATCTAAACGCACCATAACATAAATTAGTATTGATGTATTCAATTGTTTTTGGTCACTTCCTGTTTCACCGGAAATTATTACAATTTTTGATTTTTAAATAGCACCCTCGGTATTTTTTTACTTTATTCGATAGAAAATGTATAAAAGAATCATATCATATGTCAACTTTTGACATTTTTGCATATAGTTTATTTGAAATTATAACATGCGGTTCATAACGAAAATTTGACTCGAAATACCAAGTGTGTGGTATCAAATTATTCATAAAAAAATGCTTTTTCCAAATATGCTAATGAGCGACCCTCGTTCCATTTGAAAAAATTATGATATGATCAAAAATACGATTGACACAAAATACGAAGACACTAAAAACATTAGACGATCAAATCTATTTTTCCAAGGCTCCTTGATTAAGAATTAGTGTTTTTAATATAGCCATGGCACTCTAGATTGAATTTTAAAATACGATTTTTTATTAATCGAGAATATCAAAAATTGACATATGATATGTCATTCTATTCAAAATGTAATTTTATATCGAATAAACTAAAAAAATACTAGGGTGCCATTTAAAAATCAAAAGTTATAGTCATTTCCGGTGAAACAGGAAGTGACCAAAAACAATTGAATACGTCAATCTGGAAAAATAAAAAAGTTATAAGGGTGAACCACTTTTGAGACGCACCCGGTAGAAAATTATAGGCAGAAAATTAAAAAAAATATATATAAAACGCTGTAGATCAAAGTCGCTTTTTTCAATAAAATATGACTGAAATTATAAAAAAAAACAAAAACGAAACTAGTTTTTGATTTAAAAAAAATTGAATTGATCATAGGTACTCACGCAAAAATAAAGAAGTCGCAAATTTTAAAATTGTCTTTATTATAAATACAAAAATGTTTCTGGTATTAACTCACTAAAATTTGGTTTAAGTTTCATGCCCAGAACTAGAGATATACAATACAAGGTGAGTCTTGAATAAGTGCAAATATTTTAGGGGTAATATGTATTTAAATGAATTTCGACCCCAGAAACACGATAAAGTTTTTTTACGAAAAAAAAATTAATTTTTAGTTAGAAAAACACAATTTCTTATAATAGTAGATTAAATTTACAAGAAATAAAATCCAGAAAAGATCCAGTGATTCTCAAAATTTAAGGAAAAAATCGTTTTTTTTTGAAAATTTTCAAGGTAAATTAACTCGGTTATTTTGGACTTTTGAAAATCGGTAACGAATAATACCCTAAAGGGAAAAGAGAGTTATACCCTGAGAAAATTTGCACTTATTTAAGACTTACCCTGTATTACATCGAAATTCTACCACCCGCTGCTGGACTCACACTACATATAAAAATAATGTAATGTTTGTAAGATAGACAGAAACATGAAAGTAAATAAACACGCCAGGTTATTATATTTCTACCGTTCGATAGTAAAACTTTCTCTTTTATACCTGCGAGCGACACATCCTAATTGAAATAATGAATAAACAGTGCCGAGGAATAAATTAACGAACAATTTCACCTTTAAACCGAATCGTTCGTTTTACGGCGGTTTCTAGTTTTCAGTCAGTACCGAGCGAATTGATTTAACATGTTGTAATCGCGTTGGGTTTGCAGGCCATGGATGTCGATTTTGCCAACAGTCCGACCGGTGCCGAACAACCGATGGTGGACTCGGCGATGAAAGTGGAAAATACGGAACCTTTGCCCAACGTGGTGTGGGGCTCGGAACCTTGGCACCGACACACGCCCGAGGTTAGTATTACAGTTGATTTTCGCTTATTTATAATGTTCGGAACAAGTTTATAACGAGGGTCAAAGGTGGCGGAACATTTCCTTTGGTTTTTATTACCGTTCGTTACTTTTTCGTATTATTTCTACCACAGAAAGCCTCATGTTTTACCTGTGAAAAAGGTAAAAACAGGAGTCTGTCTTGAGAACTGACTGTAATTCTGTGGACTGTCTTCTGTCCTAAAGTGAATTTAAATGTGTTCAATATCCGATGGTACGATGATACGAGACTAATTTTATTATGTGTGGTTGACTTTAAAGTTTGTTTTTTGGTTCGTTGGATATATTCGCTTCTGAACAAGATACTAATATTTTTTCGTAATTTTTACCTTAAAACCATGCCTTTGCTTTTGGTCCCAATCAACAGACCTATCAAATAGTGTTGTGATAAAACCTATTTTTAAATTCCTTGCTGCCTTAACATATTCCACAGGGTGTTCCAAACTTTCCCCAAAATAACATTTTGTGTTCCGCCGTATAATTGACAGATGGAAACATTCGTTTTTAATTTAGAAAGAGATACTAAAAAGTCAAAAGTCAAAATATATCAAAATTTTCAGGTGTCCGTTTTTCGTGCCGGTGAGTGTATATTTACACTACTAAATTTAAATATGTACTATACTACTAATTAGAGGTGGGCAAAGATTGAACGAGTCGTTCATTTGAACGTGTATTAAAAATGAATCGTGTGATTCGATTCACTTCAATTGAATCGTGACTAGCATGGATCCATAAAATTTGAACGAACGAGTTCTAAAAAAGAGTCGTGAGAATTGAATCGGATCACAATGCGATCATTCGTTTCTACGACTCATTCGTTCAAAGAGTCGTGAGAATTGATTCATTGCTTACAATGCGGTTCGTTCAATTGAATCGGATCACAATACGATCGTTCGTTTCTACGGCGCGGTGCGGCAATGATACATGCATAGAGTCGGCCACCAATATTTAGACTTGAATAAATGCCCTAAACAAACGTCATGGGCATAAAATGCAAACGATAAGAAAGTTATTTACAAGAAAAAAACTTATTTATACTGTACTTAGTACGGGAGTATCTGTAATGCATTTAATGTTCACGTTAATATTTTTGTTAAAATAATATTTACCAACTATAAACCATTAAATGTCGGACTAAAAGATAAAATCGTGTAAAAACACGATTTTTTTCTTATTGAACAGAGGCCAACAATATGATAAAAAAAACGTCGTCAGCGATGGTTAAGAAATGAAGATTGCTGTCATTTTAAAATTATATGGGGAATGTCATCGATGTTCATTTCCAAATCAACTGGACGCCATTTTTTCGATCATACGGTATTATAAATGATTTCAAATATGATTATTAAATCGGATTAATAATGCTAAATATGCGAAAAATATTAAATTGGTATTAAGAAGTCTTTAATAAATAGTATATGATATATGAATTGGATGTATGATTTAATATTATTGTATGTTGAAAAACAGATGAAAGAACTGTATATTTCTTTTTCTGGACCCTTAAGTAATTGTCCGACTAAATTATCGCCGGTAGTCAGTTACGATTCTTTTTTTTTATGAAAGGTAAATTGTGCATGTGGTTCGTTCAATCGTAGGAGTCGATTCAATATGAGAAATTGAATTGTGTGATTCGATCGCTACTACTAATATATAAATTCATTGCATCTCATTCTACCGTTTTTCGGATAATACGAAACTTTTGTAATATTTGGCAATAACAATTCACAATACAAATTCCGTAAAAAAATAAAATCATGTAGATATTTTTATCGCTCTTGAAGTAAAATGATATATAAACTGGTCACTTTCTGATGGCGGTAAATGTCCCAAATTTGCCCACACGGTCCGTCTGGCTTTCGAAGCGGTAGCGTCTCGAACTCCAAGCGAATCTCCCTCCACAACCTTCGTATGTAAATAATAGTATCAATCACATCGACTCTGCATCGACCCGTTCGTGGACCTACTATTCTTTACGTAGGAAGTAGAGTTCGAGACGCTTTCGCTTCGAGTTTGAGCCGACCCGTGTGTGCACGGTCTAAGGTTAAATTACATTTGTCAAAACATTAGTTACCGTACGAAAAGTTAAATTTATTTTAACTTTATCGGTTGGCAGGCAGAGGTTAAACAATTTGGATCCAAAGTAAGCCCAAAACACTATGACCAATCAGAGCGCCGTCTGATGATGTAGAATTTCGTATCCGTCATCCGTAGTATGGATGACGGATACGAAAATCCACCTTAACACCGATTAACATATTACAATTTAGATTATTCGAAATACTCCTCCATGCATCGGCTTTGATGCTAAAAGTTACTTAATTTAAAATATTTCATTTTATGTTCAAGGAATGGGTTCCTATAATAACTAGAGATGTTCCGAGACAAAGGAGACAGAATTCACAGGCACCTTTTAGCGACGCATATTTAGCTGGAATGCCCAGCAAAAGGCGAAAATTGATCAACCAACCGAAAATAGAAGGAAACTTTTCACAGGTCATATCTGGTAAGTGAGACATATTATGTTAGGTTAGGTATTATAAGGACACTCATTAGAACAAAAGAAGAAAAAATGGAGGACAAATAGGTACTCAGAACACGCTATCCATCTTTCTGGGTATATTTATATTGCAGTAAACATCAACACTACATACTGCAATTTGCAAATTAAAATGGCCAATCAGTAGCTAAGTATGTATAATAATAGAGGTATAATAATAATAATATACTGGAGAATCTCCGAACTAATGAATCTTTTTTTAAGAATAGATTGTCTTACTTTTTTAATAAAATATTCGTTGGGCCCATCATGCTGCATTTTGTAATTACCATACATTTTAAAGAAGATAGAAAAAATTGTTTTTTCTGTATCTATCTACAACTTATTAACCACTGTAAATATCCCTTCTGTATGAGCATTAGCCCCTGGGAGAAAAACAAATTTCAATATTTTTTATAAGTTAAAATAGGAAATAACTTCTAAAAAATGCTGAAAACTTCCAGGTACCGCTTTATATCTATTTTAATATCATTTTTCTTCCACTCGTTAATTTTTTCTAAGGTAACATAATTTCGAATTGACTGAATTCAGTTTAAAGTATAAAGTAAGTTTATTTTTGACAGACAATTATAAACTGTCCGGTTACTTTATCACGTTATTACTTACTAAATGTCTATATGTACAATATGGCATATTATAAATACTATAAAGAAAATTCTATTTAAAAAAATTATAGGGTACGTTCACCAGAATGATTCAACCACAAACCATTGTGGTTTTACAATGCTCGTTTGTGCTTATAAAGAATGTTCAACAATCGTTGAATAAAGCGTCAAACGTCATAAAAGCGTGGTCTGGATTTTAACGTGTAAGACAGAAAAAAGTTTTAAAAAGATATACAGTTTTAAAAAGACATAAAATTTGGGTTGATACATTTCTTCTATGTTGTATTTTAAGGTTTTTAAAATAGTTTATCTTGTTCTACACACGTAAAAACCGGCAACATTGTAGGCCAATACTCAGTCTGTCAACCGGTCCTTTATATTAATCTCTGTTGCATTCATTAAAATACAGACTAAGTAGATAAAGTCTCCATGATGTATATACGTTACTCTCTGCTGCTCTGCCAACTCGTTGAAGTGTACCCCTCCGTTGTTGCAGCAGTTGCATAATTTGAATTAAAAGACGAAAATTCAAACAACTCCAAACTATTTTAAGATTAAAATAGGTAAAAGGATAAAATAGGTAAATTAAAAATTAACAGAATAACAATAACCAAATATCGAAACAAATATTAAAAAACATCAGCAACTCGCTATATTATTTAAAAACGTCATCAATTTGTATTTTCCATAGGAATATACATATTTACATTTTAGTTACTATACGGCGTCCACGGGCAAGAGTTTTTGCAGCATCTCTCTCGAGAAAAATACTATACAAATTTTTGTAATAAAAAAATGTTATTTGACAGCGCAATCCATTTGTAATTTTGTCATTGTCATCTTTAAAAATTTTAAAATACTGACTCTTCCTTCTTTATTCATTTTTGAATCCGTTTGCTTAATCCGCAAGCACATATCTGCTATTCCCGAATGGCCATCTCATAACTATCCACTTAGGAATGCGGAGCACGATCTTTATCTGCCAACCCCGAGCTCAGAACTAGTTAAAGGTTCAATACTGTACAATGCCAAAAAAATGTACAATCATCTGCCTTTGAATATCAAGTCGCTTTCATTCTTTCCCGCATTTCGCAAAGCTCTAAAATCATACTTACTGGAGAGAGCCCTATATACGGGGTAAACGACTTTTTTGTTGATGTTTAATTATGAACAATTTTGAATTTTAAAATTTTGATCATCTCACATACTGGTCAAAGGTCATGTATTTAATATTTTATAACTCTAAAATTATATCTATTTACTGCGTATTGTTCTGCAATTGTCCATGTATATATTTTTTTGTTATTTTAATGACTTAAATTTTTTTGAATTGTATTATTTGTATTGTGGATTTTTTGTTGTTTGTATTTTTTTGTGCTTTTGTTTGTTTTGTGAGTGCTTTGTCGATGAAGCCGTTTTGGCTTTTTGTACAATGAAGCGTTGTTTGTTTGTTTGTTTTGATGTCCGTCAATAAACTTATAACCCCAAATGAAATAACAATAGCAATTGCCAGAAACAATGTACAGTAATTTTCGAATTGTCATAATGACGCCAATAGTCTCTTTCCCTGGTCGTCAAGTGGTAAAAACAGTACAATATAATATGACGTAACGTTGAACAATCCCTGAACATTCTTTACGAGCTCTTATGTGGGATCATTCCCACACAATGATCCTGAATCTTTCCGAATATTCTCTCGTCATGAATTGGAATGTTCTCTCAACAGAGAGAACTCGTACAACAATACTAGTTTTAACATAACTTTTTAAAATTCCAGAGACAGTTAGAGAGGCTGTGACAGCCACGGGACTGACGTCAGCGGCTCCCTTGGACACAGTAGCGGAAGCTGCCGGCCAGTCAGTGGAAATCCAAACGGCTTTTAGCTCGTTGCTACGCTCCACCGTCCACGCCAACCTTAGAGATAACGAAGACTTCACGCCTGATCGGTTTCCCAATACCGCAAACTACTTTAACGGGACTCCCCCCGAATGATTCTAGTGTGGCTTCGTTCTAGGTACCTTTACTTTATTAGATATTTATAAATAAAGAAAATAAAATTTTATCTCAATCAAGTGAATATATCACGTGTTTTATGTTAGGGGACTGTGAGTTTTACATCTTTTTTGTGATCAATCAATTGTCTAGCTGTATCTGTTTTAAATATCAAACGATCGAAAAAAACGTCACAGACGGCTGAGTAACAATCATTGATGATTTTGCCGTGGTCAAGCCCTAGACGTCACTTACTTGGCTTGTACTCTTTTTTATTTTTAATGGCGCTTAGTACCAGTTAGACTTAAGAGTTAAGGAGCTATTTGGTTTTATATTTAGTAAATATGATTTTTAAATGGTGTAAGTTTTATGTAAATTTTTAGTAAATGGTATCTAGAGATTGACCTCGCCAAAATTATCATCCATTGTCATTCCCCAGCCGTCTTCGACGCTTTTTTTTCGATCATACGATATATTGAAGTATGAAGAGGGGCTTGATACTTTTTTAACTGGAGACGGATGAATATTGGAATAATTAACTATTTATATAATTATACACTGACATAAACTTATTCCAAATAAAGACATTTAAAATATGATTTTTTCTTAGGATTCTGTTTTTGATTTCTCTAATCCTAACCTTATTACGATATTGAATTAATACTGACAACAGCTCAGCTACGTCGAAACGCCGTTTTCCAATAGATTACCAAAATTAAGCGACGTTAAACGATGTGAGTGAATGAACGGGTGGCCATCTGGAGTGTATTGACAGGCAGTGGTCCTTCACGCCGGTTCGAGGCCGAATGAGATCAGATATCTCGATAAAACACTTTACAGTAGCCTATAAAATATCAGTCGATAATTTCTGTTGGTTTGGCCCCTATAATTTACCATAGAGTTAAAAGAATGCATAAAAGCCTTGTTATAACGGTTTTAAATCATAACCCGATCATAATTTTCACAACAAAAATTGATTTTTATTATGAGTTTCACATTGAAAAGTTTTTTTTCATTGCCTAACAAGGAAGAGAAAACTTAAAGGAATCCAGAATTTCAATATTTTTCAGAAAAAAAGTAGTATTTATTTTGTATGAATGACATAAGACAAAGCGAATCTAATAAAAATAATTTCTAATGCAGTAATTTAATGTTACTGCCCCGCAATAAATTGTGAACTACTAAAATAATTGTTAATTTTCACACTACCAACTTTGATGCAATAGCCTGTAGAAAACAAAAATATGAATTATAATGCCAAAGTAACTTTAATTAGAGATCTAAAATCTATTCTAGACAATGACTAAAGAATCCAAGGACAAATAACACCCGAGAGCAAATTGTGACGATGTCACCAAACAGTGCCGTGGCACATATTTTTCTTAACCTAGCTGTTTGAAGCAATATTTATATTTTTTGATAATTGTTTTGACTACGCCTATGGTGTATCATCCTAATTAATTACGAAAAAAACGTATTAAAATGTTAACAAAAGGTACAAAACTAGTATCGACCTATAGCACATATCAAGTACATATAGATGTTAATTGAAATTGAAGAATAATTATCGAATTCAATAAGAAAACGCTAAAAAGTTGGAGTGGACTGTTTATTTATCTATGAAACGTAACTCCTGGCTCTTTCTTATCGCTGCTGCTTTTACACTTGAAAGCTGAACAAGTAATCGCCATTGTAATAGAGTTTATACAAAGTTTACTACACACAAACTATTAAAAATCGCTAAAATTGTCGCTGGTGACCAAATGATGACTCATTGTTTGCCACCAAAACAAAAAAAAGGTCACAAATTCTGCTGCAGCCCGTATAGGGGCGTTACATGTCCTTATATTCTTTAGTCATTGATTCTAGACTAACAAAAAACAATATTAAGTTTAAGGTTAAGTTTTTCCAACAAGTTTGATATCTAAGTCATTCCAACAAGTTTGATATCTTAAACGTCGACATTTTTTTTTTATTTTGACGATTATTTACAGGACAGTAAAGAAGCATATTGTATTAAGAATAATTATATCTTTTTTGTTACTGGATATGCCAAAGAAATAACTATAATATTTAATTTTTATAAAACTTTTTTAATAAATAATAAACGTTCAAACAACTTTTTTAGAAACAAAAATTAAAAAGTCCCAACTTTCGCGAACATTTTGGTACACCTTGTATAAAAACAGAAATTAGATCTTTAATTTCGGCGGAATGTCCGTTTTTGGACTAACCATCAAAAGAAATATCACGATGGACGAATTTCCATTAATTGAACTAACAAATCGCATCGACGAACCGTATCGTACTCACTAAGCGTACATGGACGCACCAGCTCATAGTATCAATTATTTATATATTTTTTCCCAATTTTTCCACCTTAAAAAAAACAATTTAATTTCTTACATCATTGATTTTTTTATTTATTAATTCATGGACTACATCAGAAGAACAGAAGGAAAAAGCAACAACAGTTTTCATCGAATAAACTTAAAAACTAATATATACAAAAACAAATTTCGATCTTTGTTTGTCGGAAATATACAAAATTTAAATTAGCCATAAGCACCTTTTATTTTTCTTACCTGCTTCTTTTTTAAACTCTCACTATTAAATTATAACCTATCCTATTTTCATTTCAACTTACCTAAAAAAATATCTGTTACAATATTTTCTCTATCCCATTCAAATAGCTTCGCCTTAAAAATAAATATTAATATATTTAGGAAAAAATGTCTTAATACAATTATATACAAAAAGAAATCTTACATTTAGAATCTACTTGAATGGTTTCTCAGGTTTTATTTGAAGGTTATATGAAACCAGATTAAAAGAGAGTTTTTCTTTACTCTTACTGGTTTTTCTGTTAGTATTATAACATATATAAATATCACTGCAATTACACCTGTATGTTAATATAAATTTTTCAACACAATACGATGAGAATACATTTTTTTGTATGTTATACATTGAAAAATACATTTAAATTTAATGTTCCATTCATTCAATAAAATATTTATATTTATAATTCCCAAAATTGTCTTTAAAAAATGATTAAATATATTTAAAAGTACCTATATATTATATATTTCATTAAAATGTAGATAACAAAGAATATAAAACAGTTTTTTTAATAAAGAAAAATAAAAAAGAATATTTGAATTATTATAAAAGAGACTTCAAAAGATCGTGTTGTTTTAAGTGATGACTAAAGAACACAAGGACCAATAACACCAGAAACCAAATTATTACCGTGCCAAAGGGTTAAATATAAAAAATGCAAAAGTAAGTAAAAATTGCAATTTCAACTGTTTCACAAATATTCCTTCTAAGTTATTATTCGATAGTTTTTAATTTTATTTTTTCCATGTCTGCCATAAAATTAGTTATTCAATTTTTTAGCTCACAAAATTAGTCTGTAAATGGGACCGGGTGTTGACTAAAATAGGGGAGTTGGGAGTTTATAAAATTTATAGTTAGTGTTAGAAATTTTATTATGACTTATTTAGTTATGAATAATCTTTATTTATATTTTTGATAAAAGTTATGCCTACGTCTACGGTGGATGGTGCTTTTTAAGTTGGTGTTCTGGCAATTATTTAAAGAAAAATGTATTGAAAAATTCACAAAATGTACAGAACTAGTACAGACTATTATGTCCCAATATGTGCTATATCATACTATAATATCAGAAGAATAATTATCCAATTCGATTTTAAAAAAATTATGTGTGCACTATGTGCGCATATTTGAAGTGAAACTTCTGTGCGTTCGTCTGTCTGTCTGTCCGTACCACCCTGATGAAGATGTAAACGAAACGTAATCCAACTTTGCAGGCTGGGACCGTGTAACCAACCCAACCCAAACCACCAAATTTGGTCGCGATCGGATGACATCAATTTTTGACGTTTCTTACGTCAAAACTAACTGTGACAATCACACGTGTCGTATACAGTCAAGTTGGCCTTGGTCCAATCTATCGACGTACCAAGTTTCATTTAAATCGAACGATTTTTTCACAATGATGATGGGGTTTCATAGTGCACGAAACGTTAAAATATTAGACAGTTAAAGCAAGGCACAATACGTATACGTATCTCTCGACACGTAACGCAGGAACCTACGTTACGTCTGCCATTGCGTTCTCGTGTAAACAAGAGTTAAAGCAAGTATTTTGGCGTACATAACGCAAATGGTACATTTGTAATTCTAAATTATTTTGTGAAACTATTTAATTTTAAAACTGAAAATGGATATCTATTATTCCATTGATTCCACATTAAATTGATAAAAGTTCGAAAAATGAAGAAAATTATAAATGGAAATTATTTTATTACAGAAAGTAGTCCTTACAACTTAAAATGCTCTTAGTAATAAATAATATTGGAAAAGAGACAGAGTTTTATGAATATTTATTAGATTCCATCTTTTAGAATCCTCATATGGATTTTAGCTAAGAACTAGCATTTAATTAAATAGATTCCAAAATGAGTTTATTATGATGCTTAATATTTTCATACTAATTTATTGTAATAAAATAGGCCCAGTTCTGTGACACTGACCCCAAAATTTATGAAATAACTTAATAACCAGCCAGTTGTGGAAACGAGTTTGTGAATTTGTACGTTCGCATCATTCGGGTGAAAATTGAAACTCCTTCGGCTCGATACGTTTGCGTTTTGTATGTACGTAAAGGCACATAAAGATACGTATCACGTATCCGTAAACGCAAGTGAATTTCTCACTCCGCAAGCGTACATGTCAAACGATACGTTTATGTCTACGTCTTTGACCGTGCTTTAACTGCCTATTATGAAAAGATGGGGCTGGAAGAGGTTGGAACTGTATTCCGAGTTTCAGCCCTCTAGCTCACATAGGGCCCGAGTTAAGACCCATCCGAAATTCCCCATTGGTTTACCACTTTTGCGACGCGTCTCGCGGCCTTGAATTTTTACTCCCATCGCGCGTAAAGAAGTTTTACTTCAGAAATCTAAAAAGGCGGAGTGCAGAAAATTAATTCTTTGTTAATTTACCTAGAAACGTAATTGCTGGCCCTCTCTTCTCGCTTCTACACTTGAAAGCTGAACAGATCACCATTATAATAAAGTTTATAGAAAGTTCACTACATACAACAAATTATTAAAAATCGCTAAAATTGTCCCTGATGACACCTTCTTGGTTTGACACCAAAAAAATGGCGTCCTTTAATTTTACATCACAGATTTTACTCTAGCCCTATATGCGCGTTACGCGCCCTTGAATTATTTAGTCATTGGTTTTCAGGATGAAAATATTTATTTGCTATAATACGGTATTTGAATTCATTATGAGCATTAAAACATCAATTTATGATAAAAAATATTCAATACTCGTATTTTAAATAAAAAAGTTCAGTAATATAACTAAAGTCTGTATAATGAGAAAATGTGACAGTGACAGTTGCCTGTCATTTTAATTCACAGGTAAATTATTTTTACTGACATTTTTAGATGTCGTCTGTCGAAATATTCCCTGTCTCGTTAGACAGACTTTGTTTACAAAGGTTTTATTTATCCCTGGTTTTATTAATGAAAAATATCTTAAGATGGTATTACATTAGCAGAATTTTTTTAAAATTTATTCATGAATATATTTTAACGTGTCGAGAGGCATTTATACATACATGTGTAACCCAGTATTCTGAAACATCCTATTACTTTTTTTTTCTTGATATTTTCAATCTTTTCTTTCTAAAAATATCCTCACAGATAAGAGATGATTCAGATATAATAGGTTCGTTCCAACCGGACCGAGAACCGATCCTGGGACGGTAATTTCTAGTCGCCCACTTATTGTTGGAAAAGTTTGATCGTTTGTCAAGATTAACAAATGAATTGACCGATAGAAAATTACCGTTCTAGAACGGTTCTCTCGTCCGGTTGGAACAAACATATTTTTACACTAAAGTACTGTTTTTTTTTGCATGACCATTTTTATATATTTTAAATTTTCTACGTTTTCAAAGCTGTAAGAAATTTTAATTTAGTTTTTAAGTTTCAGTTTTCAAAGTAAATCCGCCACAAATATTTATGTATCGTTAACTTAAATTCATAAAAATTCATTTAGTCAAATTGTTGTGAAAATTTGACTGGAACGAATTACTATAAATACCTGAAGCATCTGAAGATTACAGTTGTTGTAATATCAACTTTGTAACATAGAATCAGGAATTGGAGATATTTTTGTTTTTGTAAACATTTTTTGCCTCTTCTTTCCTTTTCATTAACAATCAAAAAAATATACATAGAACAATCACTTTTTGACTATAAATAACAAGCAAAATCTCATTTAATATTGTTATTCCTTCCCTATTCAGGATCAAATCAATTTTTCACTGGTCTCAACATTAAATCATAATATATCACTTCGTTCAAAACCTCCAAACCTTAATAACCCTCCAAATTCATCTCTTACTTCACCATCATAGCCGCTCCATTCTCAATCCGAAACTTATTTAAATGTCCTAAGAGATATTCAAATCGAAAAAAAAATGGATATATCCCCGACACATTTTCACTATAGTCCCCCGGATATTTCTTGGAAAATTTACACCATTAATATTATTAGTAGTCTTATACAATCAAGACGATGATGACAATAAAAGAACGCTACGTGCTTATCGCTGTCTCTTCCATGGTCATTATCGTTGCGGATGGGCCGTTTGGGTGTGCTGATTGGTTTGAATGGGCGGCGCTGAGTTGACCATCGTCTGGTTGGCCGTTTGAGATGGGGAACCGGCTGACAGTTTGGAGAAGGCCAGCAGAGTGTCTGGAAAGTTTGGAGGAGTCGCCGGAGTATTGCAGGGTGTCATCACCTACAGAGAAAAAGAGAATATTACATTTTTGGTACAAAATAAAAAAGTTTTATAGCCTGTTAAAAGTGGAATAAATAAACTGATAAACTATATACAGAATACAGGTTGTTAACTGGACAGTTACTTATAGGGGAAGAGAATGTCAACACTGCCTATTGAGAACGCATGCACATATAGAGTTTTGTGCCGACTCGTCCCGTCGCGTCGTATATCGACGAGCGGGCCGAGGTTGTCATATTTCAACCATAAAGCTCTTGCCGCGAGTAATAAACAAATTAACAACCTGTATATGTAATGTAATCCATGTGGCGCCATAATATGCGTTAAAAGTTTAGATAAACTTGACGGATAAAGCTATGCTATAAAATATCACAAATAACTTTGTTTCTTTGAGTACAACTATACTTTTTTCTAAATATTTCTTTCTAGAACAGGATTAACATATTAAACTATAAACCTGTCCTTCACTCCATGTGAGCTATTTAGGCTTACGCAAAACGATATATTTGACATGAATGCCACCTTACACCGGACTGGTGCTACGTTGTAATTTTGATAAAAATATGGGTTATAACGAAAAAATCATTAAGGGGTAACTGATATTTATAAATTTCAAATTCGAATAAAATCATATAATTCGAATGTGTGTTTAAAATGTTTTCAAAATACTCCACGGAAACCTAGGTATGACAAAATGGCATCAAAAAAACATACTTGATATTAAAATGTTAAATATCTTTAATTAATCTCACATTTCCTATACCGTTTGTCGCCTTTTTGTCGTGTTTGTTTGTTATGTCCTAACATCTCAGTTAATGTATCTAACTATATAACACTAATTTGTTGTCCATATCCATTACTGGGTTAAAATTTAAATTGATTTCTTAAAAATGATATCCTAAGGGTCGGCATTTCTGGTCTTGGGTGCCGGTTTTCATGTGTACGAAGAGTACGGTCAACACGCTTAGTAAAATAAGATGTACTGAATAAAGACAGAAGGCGAGTATTTTCCCAAGCGCATGGAATCTAGCGTCAGATTAAGTAGTTATGTAATAAATACTTCGTATTTTTGCTCACTCCGACTTACTAGATTGCCATAACGACTCACTCCTATACATGTAAACGCCGACCCAAAGGTTCGCTTGCCAGCAGGGTATTTGACACTGTATACACAAAAGAAAGACAAGACCAAATTAGTGTTAAGGACAGAGTCAGATAATCGATCTCTGATTTGTTTTCAACATAGGTTAAATAAAACTAAGACTAACAAACCGGTGATATTATGTATGTATATCTTAAAACCAACCAAAATGGTGACTTGCTTTTGATTAGCTGCTTAGCTGTCAATCGATTTACTTCCTTCTGAATAAAAATAAAGTAATAACAATAAAAGAAATATCTATTACTAGTTGAAGCCTGGCGAATCCGCCACATCAGGAAAAAAAAACTTTTATTTTTTTTAATTAAATGAAAAACAAAAAATCCGGCGACGACAGTTTTTAGAAGAGCCAATTAGCTATCTTTTAGTAAAAAAGCAACTTTCTAGAGCAAGTTGTTACTTCAGTAGAGACGACACAGATAAACATTAGCATTTTATATATGTAGATATTTATTTATTACAGAAACTTCTGATGCAATTTCGGGCAGAAACTCCCTGTATACATTATAATACATCTTATAAAAATAAACAAATGCAGTGGCGTAGTCAATATTCTCACTCTATCTGCGTTTTGTGTTATTACATACATTGTATTTAACAACAAAAAATTTAACGAAATAACGAGGCGATAAAATTTTAAAGAAGGTTCCCTGTTATAAAACTTTTATCAGAACTCTTATCATCCAAATATTCTCAATTTGTAAATACGACACAGGCATGGCACGATACGCAATAAGCCTTGTTTTATTATGATTGATAAAATTACTTAAATTTGTATTACGCAAAATATTACATTATGTACATATTTTATAATCATTTGAAACTAAGTATAGACTATAGATACCATATGAAGGGAAAAAAGTTTTCTAGATGAAAATTTCGATAATAAATGTCTAAAGCCCCGTCTACACCTAATGTTTTGCCTGTCTGTCAAACGAACGTTTTTATCTGTGAATTAAGAGAGAATTAAGTAAGACAGATTCAAGACCAGTGTACAAAATGGAAGTATCTATAACCTGCAGTTTTCGATCAGTGATCAGTATTATTTGATAAAGATTTTGTAGGAAGTCAAGCTTTTATCAAATAGTATAATGTTGAAAATTGCAAACAAAAAACATGGACTTTTACTATTAAATTGTATTTATGGTTTAAATTTCATCTATAAATAAGCAAAGCTAATTATGAAAATGGTATCGTTTGGTAATAATCATTATCTATCTCGCCACAATTTAGTAAAAATTACATTATTTTGTAAAGGCATGTAAAAATATTAGATTTTTAAAAGTCGCTTATTAAAGTTGCTGTAATAGGTAGGAATATCCATATTATTTGTAATTTACTTATACTTTTTTTACAGTGTAGGGCAAAACGACAGATTTCTTGTAAAATTGAATGATCCCGTCAGTTCTCCAGACGGTCCGTCTTAATTTACTTCAAGCACAACGGTCTGACATTTATTTTTTTCGTCTACACCAAGGTTTTACATGATACGTTTTGACTGAACAGGTAAGACGTAGCGTAAAACGAACTGCGTAGACATAAGCCCTAAACTTAAGCTTTTTTCAGTAGGTCTATTTATAAAAAAATACTCTATTATTATTGTTTTATTTTAAGAAAATCTTTACAAAAACAATTAAGACCGCTGTTTACTTTTTATTTTTGTAAAAATTATCGCATTAGAAATACGTTTAAATTTTTATCTAAAATGTGTTTGTCGTCATCTAAACAAATATACGTAGCAACATTCAAGGCGAATGTTAATCATTCCGATTAGAACAAGATTTTAATTCGAGAAAAAAAAATGAAATAATCATAGGAGTATTTACTACTAGAAAAAAGTTTGGTTTGCTAGTTTTAATACTGATGTCGGCAGTGACATACCCCAAGACCGAATCATAAAACTTTTGTTTCATTTATTACATTCTAACTCATTATTACTAATAATAATTAAACTAGTGCAACAAATATTCGCAATAAGCATTTTTTATCTTATTTTTATTTTAGAGATTATCTAAGATATATTTAAATAATTTTTGACTACTCCCGTTGTCGCACAATTCCGATATAATACGTGATAATACCATACGATAAAAAAAAGCGTCAAAAATGGCTGGGAAATGACAATCGATGATAATTTTGGTAAGGTCAAGCCCTAGACGTGAGCTACGACGCTCTAAAGAAAGACCCATCTCAACTTCCTTATTGGCGGGTTAGAGTTATTACTTGACCCGTTATTCTTCTTTATTTTTTAATGGCGCTTCATACCAGCTGGCTTCAAAATGGTTGTAATTTATATTGAGTAAAAAAGTTGGAGAAACAAATATTTTTTGGAAATAGATTTGTGTGTCTGGAAACATCCTATCCTTCTGTAATCTTTCTATAATTAGTGTTAATTTAATAAGTTTCATGTCAATTTTTAGTAAATGACGTCTAGAGATTGACTTCGCCAAAATTATCGTCGATTGTCATTCCCACCCGTCTTTGACGCTGTTTTTAGGGTTCCGTACCCAAAGGGTAAAAACGGGAACCCTATTACTAAGACTTCGCTGTCCGTCCGTCCGTCTGTCACAAAGGTCTATCTTATGAACCGTTATAGTTAGACAGTTGAAATTTTTACAGATAATGTATTTATGTTGCCGCTATAAGAACAAATACTAAAAACAGAATTAAATAAATGTTTATAAATAAAAAAATACTTTCACTAAACATTATCTTTTAAGTAAGAATTTTACATAGAATCTTTCAAGTCCTCTGTGGCCGCGTGGTTAAAGGGTTAGGACTTTACGCTGCTATGACGTTGGAGCCGTAGTAAGGCAGGTTCGAATCCTAGTCAAGGCGACTTTTTTTAATCGTTTTTTTTTTAATTTTTACATATTTATTTTTACTTTTTACATATTTATTATTGATTAATACAATTTTTAGTAACGTGTTTCTTCATTTTTTTTTAATTACGCGCATTCAAAATTTCAGCTAAATCGGAGAAAAGGTTTATAATAATATAGTTGTCAATGTTGTATAGATAATGAAGGGTACGGAACCCTTCGTGCGCGAGAGCGACTCGCACTTGACCAATTTTTTTTTTATTATAAGGTATTTCCAACAAAGGCGTTCCGTCTGATTTACGCTAAGGCGGGTTAATTTACTCTGCAATTTACCGCAATGACTGGAAAGGCAATGTGTACGAAAGAGACAGAATAGAATAAGTTAGCATCGTGTGATTTAATTTCGTTAGCGTTGACCATGATGCCAAATCTTTTCACCCAATTTAGAGTAAAAAATAATTATATTAATTACTTATTCTATTATCTTATTATTTTGACAATTTTTGCCTACCCCGCTTTGATTGGTACTGTACGCCACTGGAAGTCGGAAAAATTAGTAAAGCAATTATTAGGTTGTCTGGAACAAGATAAAAATAATTCTTTTTTCGTGTCGTTTCATTTATTCCAGCGACACATTAGCAAATCGTTTGCCAGCAAAATGTTGCCAATCGCTAAATTTCCTACTCTGTAGGTCAGAGATGCAGTCTAAACGGATATTTTACAACCAATGTTTACATAACATTCTTAAAATAATCACGCTCGTTACACTCTGGTCTTGGAAATTTCGTAAACGAATATTTTTTTATGAATTTGCCACTATCTCACACATCTATCGATTTCAAAAAGCAAGATATGTTATTCTAGAACTTAATTATTGACTCAAAACTTGAAAATAATTATTACTAGCGTTGAATGAAAGAATTGGGAAGATCGCAACCTAATGGGCGAATTCGTGACAAGGCTGATTTGTTTCCCCTTACGTCTCGAGTGCTGTACGGTGGAGATACCAATCTTTCTACGGTCAACGCATAAAACACTTATTTTCTCTAATTCGGCCAGCGAAGGCATATCGAAGAGGGTGTGGCTCTGATAGCGACAGTGTTGCCAAAAATGTGTAATATCTGTAATACGTTTGCTGAAAATATTTTTGGATGAAAAATCCGCGTTTATGTATTGAGAATATATTCATGTTAAACATAAACAACAAAAATAAAAATTCTTTTATAGATACTGAATGTCATATGATCGAAAAAAGTCGTTTAGTTGGCTTGGAAATGACGATTATTGACATTTACCATAATATTTTACATACATAATAACAGCGATCTACATTTCCAAGCCAACTCTGACCCCGTTCTTTGTTTAATCATATTATATTAAATTGTTTAATTATAGAAAATCCATATTATTAACGTACTGTACCAAAAATACGTAAACCTACGAATTAATCAGTAGTTCTGGAAACACTGTCTCCGACAACCACTCACTCTGTCGACTGAAAGCAGAACTACGGTACAGTATTCTTTATCCGCTGCACTGTAAAAGACTATCAGCCCGCAGCGGCGCAGAGCAAAACTAAATCTCGGAATTATCGGACAGACTGACGGTAACGCCAGCTACATGTCGGACAGGTTTTGTGCCATGAAATCGCCCATAAGGTTGCCCATCTTCTTATTTCTTCAATCAACGATACTAGTGACCAGAGACATGTATTAAAGATAGACTAACCCCTATACATTGATGATTTATTTTGGCACAACATATACCAACAAAATGTAAACAAACCGATTGTTTATATACACTTTGAGTTGACCACGGACTTAATACAATCTATATAACTTTTTATCAAGATTTAACGTCATGGCGTAGTTTAAGGATCTATCTTAGTTTCTGTCTCTTCCTGTGTCACCCGAAATTACTACAACTTTTGATTTTCTAATGGCACCCTCAGTATTTATTTACTTTAATAGATAAAATAAATTAAATTCTGAATAGAATGACATATCACATACCCGCTTTTGACATTGCTTCTTAAAAAATAGTATGTATTTTAAATTTCAATCTAGAGTGCCACGATAATAAATATAACGACAATTTGGCTCTAAATACCAGTACAATATGTGATACCAAATTATTCGTAAAAAATGTTTTTCTAAATATGTTAATCAGCTACCCTCGTTCCATTTGAAAAAATTGAGTTATGATTAAAAATACGATTCGGGATTCTTTTAATAGTCCATTAAAAGACACGAAAAACATTAGATCAAATATATTTTTCAAAGGCTCCTTGCTTAAAAATCAGTAGATTTAACATGGCCATGACTCTCTAGATTGAAATTTAAAATATATATTTTTTTTAACGGAAAATCTGTTTACATCAGGCTTGTATACACATCGGGACAGTTCAGAAGTGGGGTCTGGATTTTAACGTGTAAGACCATAGAGTTAAGACCATAGTGTAAGACAGTGATGTTGACAGCTAAATTGAAAATCAAATGTATTAAAAAGAGATAAAAGTTGGGTTGGAACATTTCTTCTATACTGTATTGCTTAATCTTGCATCAAAATTTCAATTCGTTTACGAAAAATGTTGCATCTAGGGTTGGATCTTAATTTCCCCAATTAGTTACTCATTTTACTACAACTGTATAATATATTATATTTAGCTTAGATATATTATCTTCATTTCAGTAGTATACATGAAAATTTTTAAAATAGTTTATTTTATTATTTATTTATTTATTTAAGGCTAAGATAATAGATTTATACCGAATCGATAAGAGAAAGTTTTGGGTCAGCATTTCCCGAGGAAGGGGTAAACCGTTGGTGTATTTTGGTGTACAAGATGTTGGCATTACTTGGTATTAATCGTGGTATTAGTTGGCACTTTTAGAATTATCCGTGGTATTAGTGTACAGAAATTTGTCAGCGGCTGACCCCTCGGCATTTACCTACATACATGTGTAGGAGTGAATCGCTATGACGATGTTGTAAATGGGAGAGAAAAAAATCCAAAGTTTATTATATCCACTTAATCCGACGCTGTACTTCATGCGTTTGGGAAAATTCTTATATTGTGTATAGGGTGGCGGATACAGAGGGGGGCCATGGAGCCAAGCAACACCCCCCTAATATCTATAAATTGGGTTAAATATTAGGCTTTTGGGTTAAAAATAGCGCTCTAAAAAGCATATTCTACATTACTTTTTATTTGGGACCGTCCTAAAATACATTTCTGTATCCACCCCTGATTGTGTACTTTAGTTTTTTGTACAGTGAGGTTGGTCTATATTATGATCTAAGGTACTTCTTGATCAACCCTCGTATGTCAAATCTGAACATTGGTCTTAATTTAATAAAATAATTATTTTAATCAATTTAATCTAGTTATTCGCAAAATTGTAGGAAACTTAAAGCCACCAATGACAAGTGTTCGGATATTTCTTTACATTTCCTTGTTGTTTATCCATAATAAAGTGTAAATTGATATAGTACATTTACTTACACATATACATTTTAGGTTTATCATCAATAACAAACTATTCTCAAATTGTGATTGAATTTTCATATGTTTTATGACTAATAAAAACGATAACAATGGAATCCTTTTTTTATTTCAACAGCACTTTATTACTCGAGACAAAAATATTTATTTACCTGACCGAAATGTGAATTTGCTCCGTGCGGACAACTTGGCAACGCTGCATCTTGAAAAAATATACTGAGTGCAGTCTGAAAAGCAAAAATAAAAATTATTAATTTAATATTTTTATTAAATAAAATAAAACAGTGTTCATTTTTATCCCTGAAGAAATGTTATAGTATAGTGAATAAAAAAATATTTCATGAATGGTAATAATTACGTATAACAGTAACAAGTTTCGTTAACATCGTGTCCTGTATGCTAATTTGAAAAAATGCCCAAGGCTAAGATACCAGACGTATTCATAACACAGGCATCCTAATTTATAAATTAAATTTTTACGCTCCACATATCTGCGTGTGTGGTTATTACATATTTTTTTGTATAGTAAATTAGAAATGTCGATATTTTTAAAAATATCGATATACCGGTATCATGGCAAACCTTGAGGAAATTCAATGAATAAATGTATTTTTGGAAATACCCGATATATTGATTTGAAATTCCTAGTGAGTATGTCAAGTATATCATATTATTAAATGTGGTGAATATGTGGTTATTAAACCACATATTCAAAAATATCTAAAATCTATCCAATTGAGAGAGAGGAACAGACGAAAACCAAAAAATTACAGAAAATATTAATTTATCTGTGATAATACATAACAGAAATAAAATAAGTAACAGACACAACTGCCACTGTCATGTCATGTATTCTCTAGTTGGACAGACTATACATACAAAAGGAATTATTTATTTATGATTATGGTAGTATCACAGTAGTATCATCAATATTTAAAAAAAATAATAATAATGTAAAAAATGTAGATCCGAAAGAAATAAGTTAACATAGAGGCACATTCAACATTGATTTGTAGTCAGTTGCACCACATTTTCTAGTTTTAGGCTTAGTTTTTAACTAATGCCTAGTGATATTAATTTCTATATAATAAATGAAAGTTGTCCAAAACCAAAACTCAACAAACTTAAAAATTGATTATTCTCACACAAACAATAATAATTTATAAATTTTTCATTTTTCATTTTTCAAAAAACTAATATTTTACATTTTATTTCTGTCCATTAAATAAAAACCATTCTCGATTCAATTTTTGCTATACAATAACGGCTGGACCACCGATTTTAATGATTTCTGAATTGTTGGATGTTTTCTGAATTGTTGGATTTCTGAATTGTTGAATTCTCCGTCCAGGGCAAAACTGCGACATACTGTAGACCGAGCTACAGACATTATAGAATAGAAATTCAACGGAAAAGATTAAGAAAATAGCATATTCAAATCTAGAAATATATTGAAATATTTACAAATATAGAGAACAAATAACGCACCACTGTAAAATGGATTTGTCTCAATCATTCCAGATCATTCGATTAATAAGTCCACAAAATTGACAAAAAAAATGTTTGTACACTATGTGCACATACAGAAGCGAAACTTCTTCCTTCTGTCTGTCGGTCTGAGGACTCCATTCAGGTACCTCTATCCCGAGCTCTATCCACTTGCCGAGTTTGGTCCCAATCGACCCATAAATAAGAAAAATCCTGATAATTTCGTCCATTTAGAGGCATCGGTTCGAAATTTCGAGGGCGTCATCCTGTAGCCCGTCGCCAATTAGGCCGAAATCGACCCTCATGTTACTTCTATAGTAAATCGTTAGTCCCACCCTGATGAAGATGTAAACGAAACGTCGTATCCAACTTTGCAGGGTAGGATCGTGTGTACCGTCCCTCACATAGCCTACCCACCAAATTTGGTCGCGATCGGACGACTTTAACTTTTGACGTTTCCTACGTCAAAACTAATTGTCAGACTGACACGTGTCGTACACGGTCAAGTTCACGTACACGATCCATCGACATAGCAAATTTCAGTTAAATCGGACGATTTTTTTATTTGATTCATTGATCATGGGATTTTTCGAGCCCTATCTACATTCCGAGTTCAGCCCCCTAGCTCACATAGGGCCCAAGTTACGACGCTCCAAAGACCCATTTCAACTTTCTCGTTCGTTACCACTTTTCATGACGCTAGCTCGTGTGTCACGGCTTTGAATTTTTACTCCCAGCGCGCGTAAAAGAGTTTCACTTCAAAAATAATTCACTTCACTGATAGGCTGTACTATTTTACCCTGCCAGATAAATTTGTGCTCAACAGACTATTCCTATAAAAGTGACATTACAATTAAGAGTTAAAGCCAAATGTGAGGTTGTTTCCACAAGTCTTTTAGAAACCTTATAAACCAGAAGTCTTTTCAAGAAATGAACCCGCCTTAAAGACATTACATAAAGCAATAATCCTATAAAGGATAGTTCTCTTAGAATAAATCGTTACATAGTTACTAAAAATATAGCAAAAACTATCGATACTTCGATTTGTCGATATACCTGATCCGTCTCTATAGTAGTTCCGGTGTTTGGTAAATCGAAACGAAGAATGGTTTTTGGAATAAAGGTCACGAAAGGTCATATTTATAATTACATAAGACGTTCTTGAACCTGATGATCCAGTATTTAGATACATTCGAATTGATAATTGAAAAGAATTTACAGTTAATTGAAAAAAGTTATTCACTCAAATATAACCTTGGATTTAGTACAAATTTTACAAATAAATTGTGATTGAATGAAAAACGTTACACAGTAGGCGTAGGAGTTACAGTTGCAGATAGAAAAATCAGAATTCTAGGATTTTTACTACGAAAAACTCGTAAGGTCAAATAAGGTCTAAAAATAAATATGTAATTCCTTGAATTAGATATTTACGTAAATCATTCTTGAACCTGCTGAGTCAGTATTTTGAAAAAGTTCAATTAATAATTGGAAAATTTATATAAAAAGGTATTTTTATAATGCATAAAGCCCCGTCTATACGTCACGTTTTGCCTAGCAGTTCAAACGGAAGACCGTCTGATAAAATTGATTGCAGCACTGTTACAACAAAGTGTCTCACTGTTGGAATTACATGTACATTTTGGCATCAGTCGACTATAATTATATGGCAGACTTGTTCGCAGTCATTGGCACTCGCTTGGCAGTAAAAGTATATATTGGCAGTTCATGTACATTTTTTACCAAAGTCATTTCGTAAAATTTACGTTACATTTAAATTCAAAGGTATATTTTCTGTCAAAAATTCCCCTGTCTCATTCTACAGACTTTAGTTCCAATTGTATAGTCTGGCCATCGAGAGGATACATGACAGTGACAGTTGTATCTGTCATTTTAATTCACAGGTAAATTGTATTTTATGTAATTTTCTTATTTTGATGTTTCTTCTTTTATGTTATTTTATTTTGTCTTCTGTCAAAATCTTCCCTGACTCGTTAACTAACTTTACATGTTACCATCAAATACTAAAAAACTTTTTGACGCCCTGTATACAGAGTGGCGCACCTCATTCGTCTCGGTTGATTATACGAAAACGGAAATATGTAGAAACAAAATATTTTATGGGTATATGTAGAGAGGTAATGTGCACAATTTAAAATTATTTTGAAATGTACAGGGTGTTTCAGAACTGAGATCCATACCAAAGTTATATTTTTTCTTATGGAACAGCCGGTATTTTATTCCATTTTTGGATTCTTGGGTCCAAAAAAAGGCATTTATTATGAGTGTTAAATATGTTCAAAATCTTTAGTTTTTGAGATATTTAGAAGATATTTAAATTTGCATGCTACAATAGAATATTCTATTAACACCCTGTACATTACTTTTCAGAATTAGTTCTTATGCTGACTTGAAAGGTAGAGAAATAAACTTTATTGAAAAATGGTATTGGTTCGTTAAATTTATACAGGGCTATCAAAAGTTGCTGATCTATTTTAGGGATATATTTTATATAAAAACTTCGTTATTTCAAATGTAACACCCTGTATTTTTTTAAATAAATCGAAGTAGATTCAAATGTTCTTTTAAACTATATTAGGGTGTCCTATACCTATCTAGCTCAGATTTTGAATAAAAAGCGATTTTTAAATAAAATTGTAATCAAGATGGCTGCTGTCGCCATGGCAATTTTCTAGTGACAGTTAGTAACTATTTTCAAAGTCGACATTAGTTTATGGACATTATTATTTATAATTTATAACAGTTTACTTAAATTTACCTACAATAGTTTAATAAGTAAATATTCATTATTTTATCAAGAAAAATAAAGCAGGATCTGCTGGCGGAACGAATAATATGTTACTAGTGATATTATTTTGTAAGGAAAATTGCTTCTTGACCTCAAGGGCTTATGCTCAAAGATATCCAAATAGGAATCTTCCTGATAAGCGTTTCTTTGAAAAACTTCTTGTCCTATTTCGCAGAGCTGGTAGTGTGGCTTATGAAAAACCTATTAGGCAAAAACCTGTCGTTAAAAGTGAAAAAAATTAATTTGCCGTAATTGGCTCTTTTATAGAAAATCCATACATACAAGTCATCGTAAAATAATTCAAAGAACTACTTCTTCGTTTTTCTTGATAGAATAATAAACACATATTTAATAAATATTATTTATTAATCTATTGTGTGTATTTCGCAGAGCTGGTAGTGTGGCTTATGAAAAACCTATTAGGCAAAAACCTGTCGTTAAAAGTGAAAAAAATTAATTTGCCGTAATTGGCTCTTTTATAGAAAATCCATACATACAAGTCATCGTAAAATAATTCAAAGACCTACTTCTTCGTTTTTCTTGATAGAATAATAAACACATATTTAATAAATATTATTTATTAATCTATTGTAGGTAAATTAAATAAAAGTAAACTGGTATAAATTTAACTAAGTCCATAAACTAATTTCGATTTTGAAAATAGCTACTAACTGTCACTAGAAACTTGCCATGACAACACTAGCCATCTTGATTACAATTTTATTGAAAAATCGCTTTTTATTCAAAATCTGAGCCAGATAGGTATATATTATTTAAAAAAATACCTAGTGTTGCATTTGAAATAACGAAGTTTTTATGTAAAATTAATATTTAAAATAGACCAGCAATTTTTGATACCCCTGTATACATTTAAGGAAGGAATAACATTTTCTGTAAAGTTTATTTCTCTGGCATAAAAGTCAGCACAAG